GAAAGAATTATGAGAGATGTGATTGTAATACATGAGTCAGATAGATTGATGATTGTTATTAAGATACAAGTGTTGTGGTACATTGAAAAGTATACTCAAAATACATGTATTGTAATACATTAAGTTGTGTAATCAAGACTCATGTATTATGACACGTTGATCTATGAGAAGGGTATAGAGAAGAATGAGAATGAGAATGAAATAAGAAATATTGAGAAAAAGAAATGAAATAAGTATAGATAGTCACAGAGATACACTGAGATGTGGAAGGTGGGGGCGATTAAAAGATTTGGAGGAAATAAAAGTGGTGGATGTCTTTCCATGATTGCGCAAAAATTAATGAAAATAGAGAGAAAAGACACCATAGGCCTCACACTCATTTCCTGACCTAAACCCTTGATTACACCTTTGCTAAAAGGGTCAGGTCAGCACACATGTGTATCCGTGTTGCTGTGGCTAACCAGCAGCTATCTATGCTATGAAGTCCTCAAGAGATCTCAGGGGCAATGAATATGAAAGTATAATGAATGTGAAATTATGATGAACATGAAGTAGTATAGAGATTGTATGATTATAATATATGCATTGTACCATACCGATTAATGTTGTTACGATACATGTGTTGTAATACATCGACAGGTGCGATTAGGACACACGTATTATGACAAATTGATTGATGTGATAAAATACATGTATTATGACATACAGATTAGTGTAGCAAATGTATGTCATAAATAATTACCAAAATGATTGATTTGTTAGATATGTCCTTTGCTCTAATGATGATTTATATGTTTTGAGTGTTATTGTTAATTAATGTGTGTTGGAAATGTTTAGCCAATATTTTTTGTATTATATAAATTTTGTGTCGAGCAAAGAGATTTAGTGGGGCAAGAGATACTCACCCTTACTAATATTTTCAGGTAATGAAAATGAAGAGATAAAGATGACTGGTCCGTTCTAGGATCATAATCCAGTGATATTGAAAGGAAAACTGCTCTGTAGGGACTATAACAATTTAAAAAATTATAATATTTTATCCTAATTACATTTCATGTTGACTAAGTTATGTAAATATTTCTTTAATGTCAAAGTTTAGAATTTATAATGTTTTGATGAATTTTGTTATAATAAATACTTTTGAAGATGTTCTTAATGATATTTTGATCTTATATGTATAATATGTGAACTAGATAATGTGCTAGATGTAAATTTAAGTTTTATTTATTACTTTAAAGTCTCAAATTTATTCCTTTGAAGTTTTAAATACTTTAGAATCTTATAAAATTTTCATAAGAGGAATGTAAGTTTTGTTTTTATTCAATCCTTAAATTTATAAAATACAAAAATTCTTCTATTTTTCTTTTTTGCTATAAAATTTATTTATTTTGGAATAAGAAATTGAAAATGTTACATGGAATCCCAACTATATTGACCAGTCAACTCAAAATAATCAAGTAGAGGAAATTACCTCATAGATACCTTGTTACTAAAGTGATCAGCAAGCATGAATCCTCTAATGAGTCTCAATATATATGCCCTAACAAAATGAGTAATTTGAAGGGCATTTTGATATGCATCGCAATATGAGTAAAGTGCTTATCTAACCAGCTTATCTTTAAGAAACTCCCTACAAACGCATCAGGCCTTAGTCTAATACATAAGTTATCTTCAATAATCTGTGCCCAATTACCTCTAGTGGATGCTATAACCAGTCTCCCATCTATGCGTAGGCCTAACAGGATAGCAACATCTTGAAGAGTAAAAATATAATAACCTGGGGGCAAGTGGAAGGTATGCGTCTTGAGCCTCCACCTCTCAACTAATGCAGTGATCAATCTCACGTCCAGCAAAAACTGACATATGTTAGCTACTCCAATAAAATCGACCAGCTCCAAATGCGAAACACTTCCGAAATACCCTTTAATCCATCTAGAATAAATTGACTTTTCTTCACTTTCAACAATGGGTAATAACATCCATCTCAAATATGTTCACAGCTATGAATACTTTCAAACATTAAGAGTGATGAATCCTCTAGCCTATGATTAACAACCCTATTTTGTCGTGAAGATGATATCATTTATACATAAAAAAAAACAAATAAATAAGATTTAGAGAAGTTATATTTTATATTAATTTTATTTTACGTATTTATATATACATACTGCATATACAAATTATTATTAGAATTTACTTAATTAAAACAATTAAATTTTCAACGTAACTAAACATACAAATTTCAACCTAATTAATATATATTTTATATTTACTTACAAGTTATGATTACATTTTAATAAAGAAAATTAAAATTTCCCACATAATTTTTAAAAAGCCTTTCAACTTCACTTAAATATTTAATATATTTACATAAAATATTCATTTACATCTTTAAAAAAAATTATATTTCTAACATAATTAATAATACAAATATCAACTTAATTACAATAGTGTATATTTTTACCTACAGATTATTTTATATCATAATAAAAAAAATTAATTTGTAAGTAAATTATTTATACAAATATCAACAATTAATAAATTATTTAATATAATTACATATAAATTATTATTACAACTTAATTAAAAAAATTTTAAATGACTAACCTAATTTTTATACAAAATTAAACTTTATTAAAATTACTAACATAACTAAACATAAATTTTTTATATTTACATATAAATTATGAACACATTTAAATTATAAATATTCAAACTACTAACATAATTAAATATTTTTTTAATATTAGCATACAGATTATTATTATTATTATTATTATTATTATTATTATTATTATTACATCTTAATTAGAACATTCATACTTCTAACACGATTATTAGCACAAATATCAACTTAAGTTAATTTTTTTAATTTATACATAAATTATTATTACATGAAAATAAAAAAAAATTAAATTTATAACAACATAATTATTATTATAACTATGCATTAATTTCAATACTTTTTATATTTACATAAAAATTCTTATTACATCTTAATTAATGAAATTTATATAAATAATGTTACATATAAAAAATTTGTTGTTATTATTTTTTAATATATAAATATAATTTCATTTAAATTATTTTATTATTTACATTTAAAACTTATATATACATGCACTATATATAAATCATTATTATATATAAATTAAATTAAATTAACTTTTACATTATTACTAAATTACAATATTTCCAATTTACATATCATACTTAAATAAATAATAAATTTCAGTAAAAATTATTTGTTACACTTAAACCAAATATAACTCATTATTATTACTAAATTCAACTATACTTTTGTCTAATTTTATAAAATAATAAAAATTAAAATATACAACATCATACTAATAAAATTATGCAAAAAAAAAATCTATAAAAATTAACAAATTAAAATTCACTAACCTTTCTTGCAATTGTTCGACCACTCCTAAATTACGTAATTACCTGCATTATTTTACACAAATTATAAAATTATTTTTTTCTAATGTTCATATTTTTAGAATATTAAATAAAATATAAAATAATATACAAAAAATATATAAATTGATTAATACTTTAAATAAAAGCTCCAAAATTATGAAAATTTAGCCACAAAATCCTCCTTGCACCAACAAACTTTAAAGAAACAAAGTGGAGGAGAGAAACTTGGGAGGAAGAAGGAGAAGAAGAAAATAGGGAAAGGAGAAGAGCATGAAAGTCACAAAAGTTATTATTTGGCCTTGCATGTGTCAACTAATAGACATATTTTATCGAAGATGTGTCAAAAAAAATTTCACCATAAAAACTACAAAATTATTATGATATTGTCACGTCTAGAAAACTCTCAACTATTTATTTTAAAATTTTTTGTGACTTTCACACTTTTAATGGCGAAACAAACAACGTTCAGTGCCATATGTCATCTCTATATGAGTTGCACTTTGTTTATGGCGAAACTATTTTTAATTTTCACCAATCTTATTGCAAAATTCTTAAATCTTTGAAACGGGTTGAGTCTCAGTTATTTAGCATTTTATGTGGTAAAATATATTTAAAACAAATTTTAAAATAAAATATTTTTACCATAGGTCTTAGCGAAACTATTGATATGTGGCCAAATTTTAGTTTGAAGTTTATATTAAAGTAAAAAATTTATTTTTAAATTTACATTATTTAAATAAAAAAATCCTTAACATATTAATTCTAAAAAGAAAATAGGTGTACGATAGCAATCATAAGTGTAATATTTACACTAACTTTTATTTATTTATATATATATATATATATATATATATATATATATACTCCTTATTTTATAGTAGAGATCATATTTTAGTCAATAAAATGTGAAAAATCAAAATCAAAATTTAAATACAAGACAAATATAAAGATAGAAATTGAAGTTCAAATATAAAAACCATTACTAATAATTTTTTAAAGTGCAAGAAAGAAAATGAATATTATAGTATTTCATTTAAATTTTATTCATTGTTATTTTATTGATTTTGCCTTCTTGGCATGAGACCAAAACTCATGTATCTTAAAAAAAAATAGAAATAATTTAGGTATAACTTTGAGGTACCAATTGTCCCTTTTAGTTTTCAAGAGTATTTTTGAGACATACATATATAAATAAAATAATAAATGAGAAATAGAATTATTAATTTGTATATAATATTACGCATTATTTCAATTATTAAAATATTAAAAAAAGCGGAACAATACCAAAAGAAAAACCCTACCCTTTTAAACCGGGTTGAACAAACCAAGACTTGATTCGCTCTACCCCTCCAAGTTATTCTCAATTTAACTAAGCATAAACACTAAAGGGAGAGTATCAATGGATTAATATTATGTAAGACCAAAAATTTCATAATATTAAGAGAGTAGCAATTGAGATCAAGCATTTAAGAAAGTGAAGTAAGGTACGAGATGCCATTGCACGTCTGGAGACTTTGGGTTCCAATCTTAATTTATTACTTTTATATATAATAACGCGATGCTACTCGTCCAAATTTTCACTCGAAGTGAACAGATATAGGGATGCTAGCAGAGTAATTTTCAGATACCCACTTGATAGACCCCTGAGCAAACTTGGGCTTCCCGCTAATCTCTTTGTCTTCGGGTACAAATCCAACCGTGTACGTAACCTTCTGCTTCACCTCCGTGAATGTTATTTGAGTCGGGCTTATGCTCATTCCCACTGCCAAAGGTGCATCAATTATCACAGTGTAAGTTAAGTTGGTGGGTCCAACATTTGTGAGCGTTCTGGTGTAGAACTGTGGATCAGGAGACCTAAAACGAATAGCAAACGAGGGATAATTAAGTTGTGCTTCCGCTATGCTTTTTACCTCCGAGCATTTCACATTCTGTTTCGTAATAATACCAATTTGTTTGTCAGTGTAACCCAAACCGCACAAATAAGGAATGTAATCATTTGGTTCAATATCATAAACAAGGCCTGGATCATCTGCTTTCACAGGGTCAACATGGCCTGCACCTATGGCAAACACATCTGCTGGTAGAAGCCTTTGGTCCACTATAGGCTTGCCTCCACGATTCAGTGCATAAGCAGTGGTCATCATAGCTGATTTTATGGCAGCGGGAGACCAATCTGGATGAGAGTTTTTGACCAGTGCTGCAACGCCACTGAGATGAGGACAAGACATTGAGGTACCTGAAATTATGTTGAATGGTGGAAAATTGTTGTCCAAAGACTCAGCCCATGCAGCTATAATGTTCATGCCCGGCCCAATGATGTCTGGTTTCAGAAGTCCCGGGCTTGTTTTGCTTGGACCTCTGGAAGAAAAGAATGTAACTTCTGGGGCAAGTGGAGTTCCAATAACAGTTCCTTTGAATATGATTGTGGCTGTTGGTGTTGAAGTTGAGTTTATGTAATCCTTGATGGCTAATCCAGCAGCATAACTCACCTCTGTAGCAGGAAGAACGTGAACATCAGCAAAGGTACTGTAGCCTTCAATTGGGGCGTTCATGAGGATCAAGGCAGCACCACCAGCGTTCTTAACCTCCTTTCCTATTTCTTCTGTTGCAACAAATTCACTTCGCAGGCACAACACTACCTTTCCCTTGACATCCACATTCCCTAAGGATCCTGGGGCGCAAAAACTAGATGACTCATTTCCATTTGCACCAGCATACACTAGTGGTAATAATGTCGGGGTGAAGTTTTTGGGTTGGAACACTGATTCTCCATTAAACTCTTCACCGTTTCCAAGTTTTGCTGTTGCTATTATTTTTCTGTCAAGGGTGCTAGCACCAACGGTGAGAATCCATGCAGCCTCATTAGATATACTATGATTATCAGGACCTTCATTACCAGCTGAGCAACTAAAGAAAATTCCCTTCTGAATTGCACTAAATGCAGCAACTGCAATTGGATCATCAAAATAAGGTTCGGGTCCCCCCCCCCCCCCCCCAAGGGAAAGAGAAAGTACATCCACACCATCTTCAATGGCCGTTTCCAATCCAGATATTATTGCACTTTCAGGACAACCAAAAGAGCCGCACACCTTGTACATTGCTAAGTGTGCATAAGGTGCCATGCCAACTGCTGTACCCTTAGCATTGCCAAAGAAACTAGCACCTTGCAAAAATTTTCCAGCGGCTGTGCTGGATGTGTGTGTTCCATGACCACTATCATCAAGTGGAAGGGATGATTGTTTCATAAAATTCTTTGCACCAATGAGCTTGTTGTTGCAAGTTCTCTTCCCTGTTAATTCACAATGGCCCTTCCATTTTGCTGGTGGGAGTGGCATTCCTTCATCTGAAAAAGAAGGGTGGCTCGGGTCTATCCCCGTGTCCAGCATTCCAATTATGATCCCTTTGCCAAAATTGGAATCTTTCCATAATCCTAGTCCCTGTTGCAACCCCAAGAAGCTTGGAGTGCGTGTTGTGTGTAAAGAGAGGATCTTTTCAAGCCTGGCTGACACAATCTCTTCCTTCTCTTCTAGAGCTTTGGCTTCTTCCGGGGTCAGTTTCACAGCAAACCCGTTCACAACATTACTATATGAGAAAGTAATGCGTTGCTGGTTTTGTGTGCTATCTGGCAGAAGCGAGTTGTACCAACTATGCAAGTCCTTGGATTGAAGAGAATTATCATCCTCAGGATTTTTTACGTGAACAATGTAAGTCAATAAGTTGCTTTGTCCCTCGAAGTCCTTCGTTGGCAAATGATGTTCATCTTTTGCATCTGCAAATTTTAGATTTTGGTGTGCTGAAGTGGGTGATAAACTCAGCATGAAAATGAGACCAAGAGCAAGCGGCAATGCAAGTTCCATCTTGGTTTTGGTCATGTTGGGGCTCTTGGATTGCTAGTAACTTGGCACTCCATGCAGTTATATAGTGGAGTGAAGTGTAGGGACATGGGTGTTAACGATGACTATAGGGAATATTACTATTGAACGCGTATACATGCAGCCAACAGCTAGCTGGTTAGAAATATAATAAGGCAGTTGCATGGTGACGCCCGCTACCCGCTAGGGCTTGTCTGGTCGCTAATCTCAGCACAAGTCAAAAAACTTTGTCAAAATGGCATCAGGTAATGGTCTATTCTCCTCTCATATTCAATCAGTTACTAAAAAATAATACATATTGTATATAATATTTTTTTTAACCTTTCTTTTTTATATTTTATGTTATAGAGAGAGAGAGAGATTGGCTGACACGATTTTAAGGTTCTATCCATAAATTATTTTTATAAAATTTCATATAAAAAAATTGAATAATATATACATATACAAAATGTCCAAACCATGTCTAATTTAATATACATTATTATAAAAATAATGTAAAATCATTTAAATTGATCAAATTTTTATTTTATCAAAATCTATTAAGAATTATAAATATCTAAGATGAATAGTGGTGTCACCATGACTCATTCGTGTATCAAGAGTGAAAAAACATTTCCCCTGTTCAACTGCCATGTCATGCTTAACTCCAAAGAAGCTCACAGCAATTTAATTATTTGTATTTGATAAATCAGGGGTTACAGAAACCGAACACAATTTTTAATATATTCTTTGTTAGCAGAGTTAGTACGAAAATTTACAAAATAATATGAAGTAGTGTTGAAAAAAAAGAGTGACAAATCAAATGATATTGTGTTGGTAGCATTTAACGGAATATTACTAATTAAGTACACTGACACCAAGTTTCACGTCAGATTATGAGCTAGTTTGTTTTTCTTGTTTTGGGTTGAACATTATTTTGTCTTCTTAAAATTTATTTAGAATTAGCAGTGGCGGTGGCGCGGTTCCATCTAACAGAAAGTATGGCAGACAAAATATAAAAAAAGAAAGTTTGTTTTGGTTAAATTCAGACAGCGGTATCTATGACAACGCGGAATGAATTACAATTGAAAGGTTGTCATGAAGTAAAAATCAAGGCACTTGCATGGCAATGCTCGCTACCTATTGGTTTGTCTGGTTGCTAATTTAGCGGCATTAGACACAAGTCCAAGAACTTCGTGAAAAAATAGTATCAGTTTTTGTGGAAAATGTTTTGACAACATCAAAATAGGACTACAAAAGTGTTTTCTTTCATTTTTGAAGTATATTTTTGAGATATAAGTAGTATATAACAAAGATAAATAATTATATACATTGCATAGAGTATTAACTTTTTTATGTTCAAATTATAAAACTGGCTTTATTCTACAACCAGATGTGATTAGCATCAGAGAAGCTCGCAGTGATTAATTATTTGCATTGAGAAATCAGGGACTACTATAGAAACATCGAACACGGTTATTTTCTTTTCGACATTCTCTATCTCTTTATTATTAATGCAAGCATAAGATTTCTCCAAACAACACAAAGGAATATATTCCTAGAGAAATCAAATAATGTCTTATTATCATTTTACCTGTTACTAATTACGTACAATCAATTATTCATCAAAAACTAATTACGTACAATGAAATTAAGATTCATGCCAAATTAGTAGCTACTTTGCCTTTTCCTGCTTAGGGTGGAGCATTTTTTTTAACTTTATTAAAATTTACTTAGAATTGGAAATTAGTGGCGCGGGCAGTTCAATTGATCTATCAGAAAGTTTTTCAAACAAATTAAAATAGGGGGAAAAATTCATTGTTTTGCTTATATTCAGACGATATTATAACAGAAACGTTGCCAGGAATCAGAAGTCATCAACCATTCGATAATTCTCTACTAAATGGTCTTCTTTAAGCAGAGATGCTTAATTATATTCCAGACTTAATCTTGCTTACAACTAGCTATGTTTTATTTATCATATTTTGATCTATAATTACTTTGCATTAAATGAATTCTAAATTTATATTAATATAAAATAGTTGGGCAATATTTCAGAATTAATATGGTTACTTTACTCGGTTTAAGTATGTGTAAAAGAATAGTATATAGCTTAATATTTGTAGTTGCTTCCGTTTTATGCAGCTATTATCTTATCTTTCTTTTGGTAGAAAACTATATCGTATTTTGATCTGTAATTACTTTGCCTTGATTTTAAAATTTACATATTTAAAGAAGCCGTTCATTAATTAATAGCTGGGCTAAAATTCAGAAATATGGTTACTTTACTCATGTTAAGTATGTGTAAAAGAATAATACGTAGCTTAAATGTTTTGCATTTGATTTCAATTTCTATAGTTAAAATTAATCTTTTTTAAAGAATTTTAGAAGAACGTTTTTAACACAATTTTTTATTTATCAGTTAAAATTTATTTAAAATTATAAAAATTATGAGAAATTATCATTAAATTATGAATAAAATTTTTATTAAATTAAAAATGAGACCCATATATATATAAACACCTAATCGTATTTTTAATTTTATATTAAGAGAAAAACTATTTATTCCTTGTTGAGAGGAAATTCAGAAATAAGGCTACTTTACTCTGGCTAACTATGCATTACGAATAATATGTGGCTTCCTTTTTCTGCTTTCTGCAGGTATAATCTTGAGGTTACCTGAACCTGTAGATAAAGGGAAATGGCGGAAGCAGTTATGATGGTAAATTTAGCATTATCTTGAATCAGTGCGTGTGAATTACGTTATATGACCAATTTATGATAAAGTTTAAACATCTTCAAACATTCACTTGTAAGAATCATTTTAATCAAATATTTAAAACTACCAGCTTTCATACTCGTGTTTCCTTCTTGTTATACAATTAGAGGTTTTAGAATTACTGTACGAAAAAGTCCTCGTGACTATTCTGAGAAACAAATGTAGAGATAGCTGTTTTAACCACTGCCTTTGACAGGTAACTTATAAATATTTCTTCTCATAATGGAAATTGTTGGTTTTAAGGCAGAAAAGTGAAAAATAAAGAAAGAAAAATGCAGAGAACTCAGGAAAGAATTTAACTTTATTAAATAGCAATAATATATTTATAATAACTCAAAGAAACAAAAACTTTAATTATGTAATTAAAATATTAATAATAAATTTGAATAATAAAACTAAATTAATCTTAAAATGTAGGATTACAATACTGATTTAATAAACTAAAATAAAAAAAATAATTAAAAGTATATTTTTAATACTTCTTTTTTTTTAAATTACAAATTTTATTTTTTTGTCATTTAAATTTGTTAATAGAGAAAGTGAATTTATTGTAAACAAAAATTTTATTTTTTCTTTTTGCTTTAAATTAAAATCAAATAAAATCTTCTTTTATTAGAAAACGTGATATTTACAATAACCAGTCTTACACTATTAAGTAAGTCACTTTGATCACTGTTAAAGAAATTAGTTAACTTGAATTTTTTATTTCACTTGAAGTTGATACCTAAGTTACAAGTGTCTTTAAAATATTTAACTACTCTTTTTATAACCTTGAGATGTATTTTATTTGCATTATGCATAAAACTAGAAAAATTGTTTTCAACACTCAAGATATTAGGATAAAATATTGTAATATTTTCATTGCATGAGAAAGTTATTTTTTCTTCCTCTAATAGATTTAGAATAATTTTTTTCTTTTTGTTTTTATCTTAAAAATATTTTGATCAAATTCATCTTTAATCAAATAATATTTGTCTTCAAAAATAACTTTAAATCATTTTTCAATTAGTTGACCAACACTTAACAAATTTTGATCAATTTCAGAAACTAAAAGAATATCATGAATTAATTTGTGACTAAATAGCTTGCTATTGCAATTGTCTCTTTTCCTTTTAAGGGAAATGGAATCTTCATTACCTATTTTGACTTTGATGATGTTAGTCAACATCAAATTTCTAAAGAATTCTTTGTTATTAGTCATGTGGTTAGCGCAACCACTATTAATTAGCCAATTTTTATTTGATTTAAAGTTTAAGAAGCAAGTAACAACAAATAAATGATCTTCTTCTTTCTCAACAATCTTAGTCTCTTCATCTTGGTGCTAGTTTTTATTTTTGCATATAACTTCTTCATGTCTCATTTTGTTGCAATTATTGCATTGTGCATTAGGCCTCCTCCAATACTTGAAAGGATAATGAATATTTTTCAACAATTATGACATGGAAGGTGATACGATCTCAAGGTACCTGGATTCTCACGTTTTGAGCGTAAGTAACCAAAATGAATATGCTGAATTCTTATTATTCTCCAAAGCTGATTGACAGAATTATAAATACTATGGCCTTTGTAACAACTTCCCTAAATAGATGGCCAAAAGATAAGGATCTAACAAGAATTATTACTTACGGAATAAAAGAAACGATAAAGGATAAAAACAATAATAAAATAATATGACTTAGTCCACGTAACGTGGGTTTGGTTTGGGTACCCTTGTGCTGCGTCTGACCCTATCATTCCCTCCCCCTTGAAGTGGCACCTTGACCTCGAGGTGCAGGTCAGGATAATGCTGTTGCAACACTGGTACGGATTCCCACGTGGCATTCTCAACTGGAAGTGCCCGCCACTGAACTAGAGCCTTTTCATTATGCCCATTGCTTCCCGCAACCCAACGATAATCCAAGATTTTTTCTGGTTCAATAATGGGGTTCCCCTCTGCTTCATAAGGAGGTAAGGTAGGTTGGGTAACAGTTTGGTCCCCAATTTTCCGACGCAACAAGGACACATGGAAAACTGGGTGAATTTTTGCAGTTTCAAGCAAGTGTAATCGATAGGCAACTCGACCGACCCGATCAGCAATCTGAAATGGCCCAAAGTACTTGCTCGCAAGTTTCTGGTGCACTCGTTTGAAAACAGAGTGCTGTCTATATGGTTGTAGCTTTAGATATACCCAATCCCCAACCTCAAAAACCTCCTCTCGACGATGTTTATCTGCAAATTGCTTCATCTTGTTCCTTGCAATGGCAAGATGGTCCTTAAGCTCTTGAATTATTGTATCCCTTGTGCGTAGTGTTTTATCTACCTTATGAACCGAAGCGGATCCTGGTGCATACTGCACCAAAGTTGGAGGAGGCCTACCATAAACAGCTTCAAAAGGAGACATTCCAATAGACTGATGGTATGAAGTGTTGTACCAGAATTCTGCCCAGGCCAAATACGGTTCCCACTGTCGGGGTTGTAGAAATACAAAACATCTCAAGTATTGCTCAAGGCACCGATTTACCACTTCCGTCTGGCCGTCTGTTTGGGGGTGATAGGCAGAGCTAGTCCTTAGCTCAGTCCCTTGTAGTTTGAATAGTTCTCGCCAAAAGTGGCTCAAGAAAATACGGTCACGATCCGAGACTATTGACTGAGGAATTCCATGTAATTTCACTACACCCCTAACAAAGGCATCTGCTACATCTCTTGCTGAAAAAGGATGAGTAAGAGAAATAAAGTGCACGTATTTACTCAACCTGTCTACAACCACCAGAATTGTATCCCTTCCTTTCGACTTAGGTAGGCCTTCTATAAAATCCATAGAAATATTAGTCCACACCACCTCCAGTATGGGTAGCACACGATTTTGAGCCTTGTTACGTTGACAGGTGTCGTATTGATGAACATAACGATGAACGTCTGTTTTCATGCCTATCCAAGAAAAAGATTGTGAAATTCTCTTATACGTTCTTGCAATTCCTGAGTGCCCTACTGATGGTGAACAATGGAACTCATGCAAGAGCTTCTCTTGTAACCTTGAATCGTTTGGCACGATAATTTTTCCATTAAGCCAAAGACATCTATTCCTCAGTCGATACCCATCTCCTGGGTGAGTGTTGTCTTGCACCCGTCTCACTATTTCAACCAGGGAACTATCCGCTGCAGTAGCATGTGCTATTTCCTCCCATAAAGCCCAAATTGGCTGAGATATAGCCGCCAAATCTGTTGTGGTCATAGTTTGTCCATATCGAGATAATGCATCAGCCGCCTTATTTGTTTTCTTGGTTTGTACATGATCTCATAATCAAACCCGATCAACTTTGTTAGCCACTTTTGTTGTTCCAGGGTCGTAATCCTTTGCTCAAGAAGATGACGAAGACTCTTTTGATCTGTGTGGATTTGGAATTTGCAACCCAATAGATATTGTCGCCATGCTCTTATAGCCTCCAGAATTGCAAGCATTTCCTTTTCATAAGTTGACCAAGCTTTTTTCTTGTCACTGATAGCCTTGCTCAAGTAAGCTATTGGTCGTCCGCTTTGCGATAGGACTGCTCCAACACCATGGCCTGAGGCATCAGTCTCAATCACAAAGCCTTTCGAAAAGTTTGGTAGTGCTAAGACTGGTGTAGATGTCATGGCTGTTTTTAAGGCTTCAAAGGCTTGTTCTGCCTCCTCCCCCCAACCAAAGCATCCCTTTTTTAACAATTGCGTGAGTGGTTTAGCAATTATCCCGTAATTTTGTACAAACTTACGATAGTACCCTGTTAGGCCCAAAAATCCTCTAAGCGAGGTTACGATTGTTGGTCTTTGCCAGGTTACCATGGCTTCAACTTTTCTCGGGTCAACTCACACGCCTTCCTTTAAGATGAAATGCCCCAAATATTCCACCTCTTCCTTCCCAAAGTGACATTTAGCAAGTTTAACAAAGAATTTATGCTTGCGCAGAATCATGAGCGTTAATCTCAGATGCTCTAGATGGGCCTCCCATGTGGTGCTATACACTAAGATATCATCGAAGAAAACTAAGATAAATTTTCGCAAATGCGGTCGGAAAATGTCATTCATGGCAGCTTGGAAGGTGGATGGAGCGTTACATAATCCAAACGGCATCACAAGATATTCATAGTGGCCATTGTGGGTTCGAAAGGCAGTCTTGTGCACATCTTCAGGGTCAACGCGTATTTAATGGTAACCCGATCGTAAATCTAGTTTACTGAAATAAGTTGATCCGAACAACTCATCTAGCATATCATCAACTGTTGGGATTGGAAAACGATCCTTGATTGTTGCTGTGTTCAATGCTCGATAATCTGTACAAAACCTCCATGTTCCATCCTTTTTCTTTACCAAAAGTACGGGTGAGGAAAAGGGGCTTGTGCTTGGACGGATGAGGCCTAAGCTTAACATTTCATTCACTTGCTTCTCAATTTCATTCTTTTGAAAGTGGGCGTATCGGTATGGTGCCACATTAACTGCCTTAGTCTCATCGATTAGTCGAATTCGATGATCAAACACTCGACTTGGTGGTTGTCCCTTCGGTTCTTCCATTACATCACTAAACTCATCTAAGAGTTTCTTTAGACTATCATGCTGATTCTCTAGCAATATGGGCATTCGATGTTCCTCCCCACAACCCATTAGACAAAATAGTTCTGTCCCACGATTCCATTCACGAACCACCACATCAAGGCTGGTTGCCTCCACTTCCTTCTGGTTAAGTCCCGTCAAACAGAACTCCCTTTCTCCTAAGCGAAACGTCATTGTGAGGCATTTATAATCTGTTGTAACTGGCCCTAGACTTACTAGCCAAGGGATTCCCAAGACAATGTCTAATCCCCTAATCGGAAGGGCATAAAGAGTCATATGAAAGCTGTGGCTCTGAATGACAAAGGGCACTGCTTCATATTTCTCTCGACATTCTAGTCTCTCACCGTTGGCAACTTTGACTGTAAAGGGTTTGATGCAAGTGACTGGTAGACGTAATTGTTGTGCCAAATGTGGGTTTATAAAGTTCAAGCTTGAGCCGCTGTCCACCAACGCAAATACTTGTTGTTGCAATAACCCACTGACTCGTAATGTCTTGCCGCTTGACCCCTCGACGAGCGCATTTAATGACACCAGATGCTCCTTAACATCAGCGTTGCCTCCTAACTCGCCATCAATGCCTTTATCTTCTGTGCACAATTCAATGAGAAGTGATTGTGCATTCCTGCAACGGTGTCCTAGAACAAATTTTTCATCACAATTAAAGCAAAGGTTTTTTTCACGCCTCTGTTGCATCTCAGCCCAAGAGAGTTTCCTGGGTGCACGATCGGTACGGCCCGTTGTGACATTTGACGCCGCTGCTATGGGCATTGGCCGTGAGTTAGTACGTGGCCCCCCTACCATGCTTTTTCTTGAACGCTGAAGTTTTTCATCCTTCCGCTTGGCTAGTTCAATGGCTACTTGCAAGGTCCTTCTACTGTGCATTGATGAATTGGATCCAGAACTCACATCATCAGTGTTGGAGTCTGTGGGTCCTGATCCCGTTGATGAAGATGAGGAGGATGATCCTGTACCACTTTGCACCCGGCAGTGTTTGCGCTTTGCCTTTTTGTTAGCGAGCATGTCCAAGATCCGTTCCACTGATTCACGAAGTTCTCCCATCGAGTTCTCCAAGTTCTCATACCATTCTCTGTTGGTGGCCATGTATACGAGCAAGGTGTTGATATGATCGCAACCTGGCTCTCTGATACCAATTGATACGATCTCAAGGTACCTGGATTCTCACGTTTTGAGCGTAAGTAACCAAAATGAATATGCTGAATTCTTATTATTCTCCAAAGCTGATTGACAGAATTATAAATACTATGGCCTTTGTAACAACTTCCCTAAATAGATGGCCAAAAGATAAGGATCTAACAAGAATTATTACTTACGGAATAAAAGAAACGATAAAGGATAAAAACAACAATAAAATAATATGACTTAGTCCACGTAACGTGGGTTTGGTTTGGGTACCCTTGTGCTGCGTCTGACCCTATCAGAAGATAAGCTTTATTATTGTTGTATCTTACACTTTCATGATATGTGACATGTAAGACTTTCTCAAAAGCACCTTTTTATCTCATTGCACACCTTTACTCTTGTGCTTGTAAGATATTTAAAAGTTTCACCGGACAAATATTTGATATTTTCTAAGGTGGTGATTGCAATCTCAAATCTTTCAAGCACTATTACAAGAATAATTTTTTTTCTACAATTTTAAAATCAATAAACTCAATACCTAGTAATCTTAAGTTGTTAGCTATATCAAGCAACCTGTCTAAGTATATTTTGACTACCTCAAACTCTTTCTTTTTTTGAAATTTAAATTCTTTTATCAAATTCAACACTTGCATACTTCAAATTCTTTCTTAAGACAATCATAAATTGCCTTTGCTATTTTTAAAATCATAATCTTAGTAAAGGTAGTTGTTGAAACACTAACCAAAAATACATGATTTTACCTTTGCTTTATGTGTTTTTCTCTCCTTATGACTTTTTATTTAGATTATGATAAGATTGTGCGGTAGTGGAAGAACTTTATAATCCTCTTCAACAACTTCTCAAAGATCCAAAGTCTCTAAATAAATCTCCAATTTGATAGTATAGATATCATATTTTTCTCCATCAAAGATAGGAATAACAACTTATAAAAATTTGATTAAATAGTAAAAAAAGAAAAATATGCATAATTGTGAAGAGAATGAATAGAAAAAGAATTTAACTTTATTCAAGAGTAATGTAACATTTATAATAACTCAAAAAAATAAAAATTAATTATATTAATTATGCAACTAAAATATCGATAACAAACTAAATTATTCTTAAAATGTAACAACTAATTATTAATTATGATAATGATCTAATAAAACAACAAAAAATAATTAAAAGTCATTTCAAAAGCATATTATCAACCAGAATGACGAGATTAATCATGAGATTCATAAGCAACGACATATTCTTGAACAGTCAAGGGTTTTTCGTCACCAACATATAACTTCTCCTCTATTATTGATTGAATTTCATGCTTGTATATTCATTGGTCAAATGGCGAACAGTGAATAAATCACAAGAAAGTTGTGCTCCTATTTAAAGACAACCTTTATCGATGTATTTCAATACCATCGGGATAATCGCAATTCAAAAGAAATTCATTTTGTGTTAAATTCACTCATAAATTAAGATCCACCCACCGGGCCTTAAGAAAGATCATGAGAAACGTTTGGATTAGATCTGAGGAGTAAGGGCGCAGACATTTTGAGCAAAAACTATATATTTAGAAGAAGAAGAAAAAAACAATTTCCATTACAAATAATAATAATAATAATAATAAGAAATGCTGGTGCATTTCAAACCCTTTGAGATCTTAACATAAAAATTAATTTGCTATTGAATTAATGAACTTCTACAAAGGGGCGTAAGTTAACACATATATTAAAGTATCTCTTGAATTTTCACGGACATTCGTTCATTCATTCCCTTCTTTATTTCTTGATGACAACCTCTGGCTTCATACATGAAGTATGTTTCACTTGAAAATGATAGATATGGGGATCCTAACAGCATGTTTATCAGAAACCCACGTGAGAGAACCCTGAGCAAAAGTATGGTTGCCTCTATTTTCTTTAATTTGAGGAATAAATTCCACTGAGTACGTAATCTTCTGCTTCACCTCCGTAAATGTTATCTGCCTCGGGTTTACGCTCATACCCAAGGCCAAAGGCACCTCGAGATCTACACTGTAAGTTGAATTAGCAGGTCCAACATTGGTCAACGTTCTTGTATAGTACTGAGAACTAGAGCCCAATAAAATAGAAAAGGAAGGGTAATTGAGTTGTGCTTGTGGTATGGCTTTTATACTAGAGCAACTCACTCTCCTTTGCACAAGAATTCCAATTTCTTTATCCGCGTACCCCAAACCACACAAATAAGGAATGTAATCCTCTGGCTGGATATCATAAACAAGGCCTGGATCATTGGCTTTGAGAGGGTTAACATGGCCTGCACCAGTGGCAAAAATGTCAGCAGGTAGAAGCCTCTGATCCAATATGGGTTGGCCTCCAAGGTTGAGTGTGTTAGCAGTTGTCATGATTGCTGATTTTATGGCTGCAGGGGACCAATCAGGGTGTGCACTTTTGAGCAAAGCAGCAATGCCACTGAGGTGAGGGCATGACATAGAAGTTCCCGAAACCATGTTATATGCTGGGATTTTGTTGTCTACAGACAAAGCCCATGCAGCTAGAATGTTCACTCCGGGTCCTAGAATGTCAGGTTTTAGAATGCCTGGGCTTGCTTGGCTTGGACCCCTTGAAGAAAATGAAACAACTGTGGGAGCAAGTGAATCACCAATCACTGTTCCTTTGAATAACACTGTTGTGGTTGGTGAATAGGTTGAGTTTATGTAAGCTTTGATGGCCAAACCAGCAGCGTAACTCACTTCCACAGCAGGGAGAATATGAGCAACAGCAAAGGTACTGAAGCCTAAGGATTCTGGGTTTGCTAGGATCATGGCCACACCACCAGCATCTAGAACTTCTTGTCCTTTGACAACACTTAGAACGCCTCCACCTATGTCACACAGCACCACCTTTCCCTTAACATCAACGGATTTTAAGGATCCTTTGGTGCAGAAAGAAGAGGATTGGTTTCCATTTGCACCCGCATACACGAGTGGCAACAAACGTGGAGGAAAGTCTTTGGGTTGGAGCAGAGATTCTCCTTCATATTCTAAACCGTTTCCAAGCACTGCTGATGCTGCTATTTTTCTGTCAATTGTGCTTGCACCAACGGTGAGAATCCAAGGGGCCTCGTTTGATAAAGTGCTATAGTTGGGGCCATCATTTGCAGCTGAACAACTAACAAAGATTCCTTTCTGAATGGCGGTAAATGCACCAATCGCAATTGGATCTTCAAAGAATGGAAGAGAGCCTAAACCTAGGGAGAGAGAAAGAACATCCACACCATCCTCAATGGCTATGTCCATTGCAGCTAAGATAGCACTTTCAGTGCACAGCACTTTGTCATTGCACACTTTGTACATTGCTATGTGAGCATTGGGTGCCATGCCAGCTGCAGTACCTTGAGCATTGCCAAAAACACTAGCATTCTCGACAAATCTTCCAGCAGCCTCAGCGGCAGTGTGGGTTCCGTGGAACAAGTTTTCAAAAGGAGGCTCTTCAATAGCGCTCTTGAGAAGATTCCTTGCACCAATGAGCTTGTTGTTGCATGTCCTCTCCCCTGTGAATTCACAAAAGCCTTTCCACTTTGTTGGTGGAGGTGGCATCCCTTCATCATTGAAAGATGGATGAAAGGGGTATATACCCGTGTCTATTACTCCAATTATGACACCTTTGCCAAGGTTGGAATTGTTCCATAATCCTACACCTTGTCGCAGCCCCAAGAAAGTTGGAGAGTGAGTTGTGTGCAAGGAAAGTGTCCTTTCGGGTCTGGCTGAGACAACCTCTTCTTTCTCTTGAAGAGCTTTTGCTTCTTCTGGGGTCAACTTCACGGCAAATCCTGAGGCCACGTTGCTGTAAGAGAAAACCATTCGATCCTTGGTAGAGGTTTGTGGAAGGAAGGAGTGGTACCAGTTGTGCAACTCTTGGGATTGAAGAGAAGTTCCATCCTCGGGCTTTTTGACATGAACAATGTAAGTCAACAAGTTGTTGCCATGCTCTTCAGCAGTTGAAGTTGGATTGACACTAAGCATGAAAATGATGAGGCCAAGAAGCATTGCAAGCTCCACAACGTGCTTGCTTTTTTCCATAGTTGGAATTTACTAAAGAAATAGAAAGCTGTAATTGCTATGACTTGTGCTTGGTCTGTGACATGCATATATACATATAGAGTGTAATAACAAAAAATGGATGTGATTAACTATGCCCAGTTGGCCACACTACTTGAAAAATAAGGACTTGCTATTTGTTGGCCTTGGACGGCTTGCTAGTTGTCCATGTACAGCTAGGTGTGTAGCAGTACCACAAGATCAAGATAAAAGCTTGTACGATAAATTTGTATAATTCTTACACAACAAAGAAATAGTAAAAAGAAAGACATAAAATAAGATGATTGTTGTAACAAAAAGAGAGAAAAAAATATTAATTTTGAGATAATAGGTAATTAAATTAAGCCACAAACATGGTGTTCATCTAATTTTTCTTTTTTTTATTTTAGTTATATTGTTTATACAATAATTGATTGCTCGTTGATTTTTATGGACGAGGTAGTTAGTTCTATATAACGCATCGCCCAAACATCCATATGTGATTCTCGGTGTTGATGAGGTACACACAGAGACAACTTTTACATCTATATTAAATAAAGTTTTGAAGTATTTGAACCAGGAAAGGTTTGTGATCTCTTTGATATAGACAACAATTAGCATTTATAAATTATTTTTGTGATCTTTATAATTTTTTTAAATGAAAAAATTTGCAGTTCAGTTTAAATTGATTCAAATATAATATAAAATTTATCAATTCAATTATATTAATAGCATATTAAATTAGACTAGCTAGATAGTTCATTTTTTAATTTTATTTGCTTTTTTGTATTTTGTTAATGCTATTTAAAATATTATATTAAAACGTTAGCGCTTTTTAATTACAACATCAACACTTTCCTTTTTTGTTTTTGTGGCGTAACACTTTCCTTCTTCTTTTTTTTTTTTATATTGAACGGGCCTAACAGCCCAAGACGAATTATTGCAACAATTAATATTCTTACAAGGATTATTGAGAACAATCAAAGACATAATTGGAGGAGATCTCTTTCAACTATGTTTTCTTTTTTTTTGTTATTATTATTTAAGCTGATACAAAACATTATAATTATGCCTTACCCAGTCAACTAAGACTCCGTAATTTTTTTCTTACATTCATAGTATAATTCGATAGATTAGATGATTTTATCTTACTATATACTACACTAAATAATGACAGCATAAAATTTGATAGACTATGTGATTTTATCTTATTATATTTCACTCTAAATAAAGAGACTCTTGTGCATTAACTTACTCCACATGTTACAGTAAAAAGCCTTCGTCCTTCGATAGTGGTAAATATGTACCAAACTTGCTCAAATTTGTAGCATGTCCTATAATATAAAAACTAGTTTAGTCACTAGCATCTATTTTATTTTAAGATATATATATATATATATATATATATATAATTTATAAAATTGAAAGATAAAAAATATATAAATATTTATAAATACAAAAATTTATATAAAATAAGCAGAAAAAGTTAAATAATAATTTTAGTTTTTAAATTTTAGAACAAAAATTAACCAAAAAAATGATGAAACTATTATAGTGTGAGAATATAATTTACACATTATTCTCAGTTAATCTTAATTTTAAAATATATATGAGAGGAATTATGAAAAAAAAATAACATCATTAAATAATTCAGTTTTAAAATAGTAAATTATTATTTATAGTATAAAAGTTGATAAAAAAATATTTTTATTTATACCTTTTAATTTAACTTTTAAAATTAAAAAAATAAATATTATATTTTTATTACATAAACTATACTTTTTATTAAATGGTTCGTATTTTTTATTATCATTAAAACACGTATTAACATTAAACAGAAAAATATTTACATTAACATATAATTATTTAGTAACATAAACTTATAATTTATTTAAGATATTATAATTTATTGACTAAGTTAATAAATTGATAATTTTTTATAAATAAAAAAGTAAATAAAATTTATAACTTTTAAAAGTTAGCAATCGAAAAAAAATTATTTTTATTCTTATTTTAAAATATATGTGAGAGAAAAATTTAATTTCTATTATTTTATTATTTAATTAATTATTTGTTTGATAATATATAAGTAAAAAATATTTAATTAATAATTATAGATAAATAAAAATATTTATTATTTATTTAAATAATTAAAATATATATAAATAAATAAAATAAGTGTGATTTAATATTTTACTAACATAATTTTTATGTATTTTATAGTACACATTAATTATTTATACAATTATAAGCTTTTAGTTCAATTATTTTTATCAATTAGAGTTATGAATTATTTGTTTTATTAATATTTTCAAATTTTTATATAAAAAAATAGTTAAAATATATGTTTACAGTTTTTCGTCTAAATTTTTAAAATAGAACGAAAATAATATGATAATTTAATAATTAAAAAATAAAAGCATTTTACTATAATATTTTCTTACAAAACTTCCCCCCACAGTTTATACAGGAAGGAAGAAACATTGGCTGAGGAAAGGGATTCTACGCCGACACTGCAACTTATTTTAGAGCCTTGGAGTTCTAAAATCTGAACCCTGTCATCCAAACTCTCCCCATCCAACGGCTACAAACCCTCCATAAACTCAAATCTGAAGAGACACCGTACGATTAGATCCCTTCGCAACTTGGATTGAACTCTTTATCACTCTCACCCAACCAATCATCTCAGATCCTAGCTCTCTCTCCAACGCCCCACCATCCCAGAGAGAGAAATAACGTTCCTTTCTTTCAATGGTGGAAGCGCAGACATGGACCACCCGCAGAATGAGCAACCCCAGGTTGGTGGACCCCAAAGTCTCCGACCAAGTCCTTGACATTCCGGCGACTCCACCGGGAGATGCACGGCAATGTCAGTCATGGGGCGTCGGAACTACCTTCTCTCCGACCATGTTAACCGCCACCATCATTGCATCATGGTACCTCTCCAACATCGGAGTCCTCCTTCTGAACAAGTACCTTCTCAGCATCTATGGTTTCCGCTACCCCATCTTCCTGACAATGCTTCACATGTTGTCTTGCGCTGCCTACAGTTACGTCGCCATTAACTTCCTCGACCTCGTTCCCTTGCAACACATCCACTCCAAGAAACAGTTCCTCAAGATCTTCGCTCTCAGCGCCATCTTCTGCTTCTCCGTTGTTTGTGGCAACACTTCCCTCAGGTACCTTCCCGTTTCCTTCAACCAAGCCATTGGAGCCACGACACCGTTTTTCACTGCGGTTTTCGCATTTTTAATCACTTGTAAGAAGGAGTCCGGTGAGGTTTACTTGGCCCTTTTGCCTGTAGTGTTTGGAATCGTTGTTGCCAGCAACAGTGAGCCTTTGTTCCATTTGTTTGGGTTTTTGGTTTGCGTTGGTTCAACTGCGGGTCGTGCTTTGAAATCCGTGGTTCAGGGGATTTTGTTGACTTCTGAGTCGGAGAAGCTTCATTCCATGAACTTGCTTCTGTATATGGCTCCAATGGCTGCTCTCATCTTGCTTCCTTTTACTCTCTATATTGAAGGGAATGTGGCGTACGTTACGCTTCAGAAGGCAAAGGGAGATTGGTTTATCGTTTTCTTGTTGGTTGGGAATGCAACTGTGGCTTATTTGGTGAATCTTACGAATTTTTTGGTTACTAAACACACGAGTGCATTGACATTGCAAGTGTTGGGAAACGCTAAAGCGGCTGTGGCGGCTGTAGTTTCGGTTTTGATATTCAGGAATCCCGTTACGGTGATGGGCATGACGGGATTCGCGGTTACAATCATGGGTGTGGTGCTGTACAGTGAGGCCAAGAAGAGATCCAAAGTTACAACTCATTGACAGATAATTCTCAAAATTCATTTCTTTTCTATTTGTTTTAATGTCCGAAAACACGGTGGCTTTTCTTTTATTATTAATATTGCACGATTTATTTTTTATTTTGGTTGATTAAATTACAGTAGTTGGTGTTGTATAGGAAGAAAGGGTAAGGGGAAGTGTTGTACTCTTTTTCTCTTTTTAGTCCCCTTTTTTTTTATGTTGGTTTAGGGGGACTAGGGGTGGTGAAGGGAATTTAAATTCGATCTTTTTCTTGCCCTTGTGTAATCTTATAAGATGATCGATGTCATTTGGCAACACTGATACACGATTCAATGGTGAAAGGTTTCCTTATGTATTTGGTGAGGGGGGAAAATTATTCTCCACTTTTTTTTGTCAATCACATCATCCATTGCTTCAGTTCTGCTCTATATTCTTTGCCTTTATGAAATTTGAAGCTTTGGATATATGTTGTGGACTTTATAGTTCTTGCATGGTTTGCCTCCTTCTGTTGATTGTCTTCTAACATTGAGAATACAAACTTATTATCGTATTCTATGTAGGATTTTCTCTATTAAGGAATTAGATTTTCTTTTTTGCGTTGTTTTGCATTTATAGTAATTCAAACGATTCTTGCGTTGTTTTGTTGAGATTGCTCCTCATTTGCAGTTCGAAATACATTATTTTAAAATAATTACGAAGCAGAAAGGATAACCCTGAAATCATTACTAAAAATTTGCTCATTAAGGTAATTGGTCATGATTTTGCAATGGCACAAATGATCAGCGGAAGAAACTTACGAGGTAATAGTTTCAGTTCAGTTATTGTAAATGAATTGGCATGAACATAAAGCCATTGGACAGCCAAGATTATTTAGTTTTTCTGGCTAGTAGAACACTGCATTTAAGTCCATAAACAGAATTTTATTTCTTGCTTAAAAGAACTAAGATCGATCCTCATTTTAACAAATGAAGTTGTTTAGTAGTATCTTGTTGCTCAGTTTAAAGTGGTTTTAACATGAAAAGTGACACGTTCTATTGGAAACTACAACATTAAGGTGGTTTTTGAACACAGTATAATTCTTGGTCTGATTTCTTCTTCTTCTTTTTTCGGGATAAGCAAAAATTTATTAAAAGGGAAATAACCCTTATAGAAATACTCATTATCTACATGAATTCCAAGGGATTGATTTCAGTTGCCATAGCAAGATTTTAATACTTGATGTCCTTTGCATATTCGTTCTTTGCGAGTATAAAACTTGTGAATTCGATGGAATTTGGAGTATTTAAGAGTTTGTTCTCATATGTCAACTGGATACGGCACTGAAATGTAAACTTCTTTACATGTTATCTAGTGCCCAATTCATCAGAATTTCCATTACCATGGTGGTCATTCCCCAATGCCTAAAGTTTATTGGATTGTATAAAGGATAAATTTGAGATAAGAATACAAAAGATGTTTTCTAAGTTATTTTTAAATCAAAATAAAAGTTTTAAAGCAGTATGAAAAACATCTGTGATACTGTTCTTAAATTTTATACTTGTGCTAATTCGTGTTCGGCTTATTCTGTATTTACCATACAGGCGTCTTCATTTTCTATCTATTTCTGCATTAAGAAGCTTCCAAAATCAAATATTGGTTAGTGGGTGTTTGCTAAATTAATTTATTAGTTTCATTTCTGCAAAGATTACCACCATATATGGGCATGTATTCCGAAGCAGTTTTTGCACTCGCCAATCACCAGTCTTTTAGTAACATTGGGCTGAGCTTTAAGGGGTTCATGGAATCATGGTTCTACATTATCCACTTTCTGAAACGTTGAAAATCGACGTTATTTCTACGCGTTTGGCCTAATCTATTGGAATTTGACGAAGCAGTACGCTATCAAGCTGGTTGATGGTTGGATTGTATCTCTCTCAACTGAGAAACTTTTAATTTAAAACTTGGCTTGTTAAGTTTCCACCTAAGGTGGAGTAACCTAGTTGAAAAGCTGATGCAATATATTTGACTTTTGTACATAGTCAATACATTTAATTTTGGAAGAAAGTGACGAATGATTATGCGACTTGATTAATAAGTTGAAATTTATTAGTTCATTATGGTCGCAAGTTTACTTCAATTTATTAAAAGAATTCCCTGGTTTGGCTTTGCATTGTAAAATGATTATGGCTCTGTTAATGTCCTAATTAAGGGGAGTGGTAAATGGACTAATTTATCCCAACTCGTCTTATAACACTTATCCGTCGAAATCAATGTTTGCTATCTTTTTCAAAGTCATTTTTTTCCCTTTCAACCCAATTCGGTCTCTGTAATAATACAAATAGGTATTGAAGAATCGAGATTAAATTAAACGATGTTTGAAATAGTAACAGAGTCTTTTGAATTCAAATTTGGCATGATAAATATCCCTTGCTTTTATGTTACAATGGATATTATGCTTATAAATTTGACAATTTAAACTTATTTTAGTTCATTTATATATTTTAAATTCATTTAAAAATATACTTTTATCGTAAAAAAATTATCTGTTAAGTTCCATACATATAATTATTTAAAATGTAATAATTATTTTACATAAATAAAATAAAAAATTATTATAATTTAATAGAATAGATGGCGCATAAATGAGCAGAAAATTCAGAAGAAGAAAACGAAAAAAAACTTCCAAACCAAAACAGAATAGAGCAAACATTTGTACATGCTCTACATACGAGTTCAGAGGTTGATTCCCGTGGCATGCTGGGAAGTGGTTCGCATGAAGGGTAGGTACTTTGCACCACTTAACAAGAAGACGAAGGAATCCAAAGCTACAAAATTCAAAAGATTTTCACTCACGGGTTGTCCATCTCCTAACCCACTTTTTATTTTATTTTACAAAGCTAAAGCAGAGACTTGGATTCACTTCAATTCCCTTCCAAGCAACCATCTCCATCAACCAAAGAAACTACTACTCTTATCAGTTCCCGTGACACGTATAAAAAATGACATCTCCTTAGAATGGTCCAAATAAGGTTGCTCACTGCTGAACATAATAATGCAAGGCCAAAGATAACCTTATACCTTTCTCATATGCAGATTGCAGAGCAGGTCCCTCCCGTCATAAACAAGGGCTGTGTCCATGAGTTTTCATTAATGTCATAAAAAATGGTGTCTGTTTTGCTGGTGTTCAACCTTCTTCATGCTTTAGTTTGGCACACCTTGTTCCCAAAATGATCTTTTCATTGCCTTAACTAAGAGGAGGCTTAGCCGGGAGAAACCTTTGAACAAGGCCTATGCCATGAAGCGTGGGACCAAAAAGGTTCCAACCCAAGACTCTGATAATCCTTTTATTAGAAATATAATATGAAATAGTTATTTACATTATTTCAGCTAATAAGTTGAGCTTTAAAGATAGTTAGCTCTTAATATGGTATCAAAGCTTCTATGACCTAATGGTCTAGAGGTCCATCATTGATCCGTTGTCACCCGATTCTGCTAATAAAAAAATTTTAATTTCAGCACAACGTAAGTGAGAATGTATCCTCGTTTCAAGGCAACAAAAACCCTACATTGAGAAAATGTAATAGAAATATACTATAAAATCATTGAAGTCTCTTCATGAAATAAATTCAAAATTTTAAGATAGTTAGTTGATAACATATTCAAGGCTCATTTTATAGGACGGGTCCTTAGACTATCTTTAACGCCAATTTTCATCAATTCCTCACTTCGATTTTGTTAGAAAGTATGATCCACGTGTTACAATAATCGCTTAAAGGAATATTGTAAAGTTAAAAAGTGAATGTTAATCTAGTTTTCATTTCTTTTTCAGAATATGATATCATTTCTCGGTTAACGATTATCAAACTATGATAATAGTTAACATGGTGTGGGATGAGTAAACAATTTCTTAGTGTTGACGCAAATTATACTCGAGGAAGCTAAATTTGAATGTTAATCTGTACACGAATGATGAGATTTTTTTTATAATTGGGAACAATGTAATAAATTCATCAAGCAGATGAATGTTGTAGTAAGTTTTACAAGTATAATATTTAATTCATTTATAAGTTTATTACTCCTATTCTTAACGTTGTCATGGACGCAACAGCCATCTTGTTTCTTAGATACCACAAATGTATATGTAACAGAAATGCAAATTAGAGGACAATATGTTCATGCAATTTTAAAAGGTGGATTATAGGTTTAAGGGCTATAATACACTTGCCTGTAATCTGTAAACGATTTTATTATAAGATTGTGATTTGGAGGTAGTTGTACAAGATACAAGAGAAGCAGACATTTGGTATGGTAACTACAATGTCTTAACAATTAACAAAATTTCTAAGATTCTGTGTACAAAAAAAATCTGAGAAGAGTTGTTATGTGCCTGTTAGATTCAGATATGTTGCTTTTGAACTTCAACTCAGCAAAGAAAATTCTGCTGCCATAACAAAAATCTTGTGGCACGTTGGCCCTCATTGGTAGTTGCTGTCATCGAATTCCCAAGCTCCTGCACCATTGCGTTGAGAGTTGATAATATAACTAATCAAATGTATCAATCAAACATGAACAGTAGTAGTAGTAGTATCAATTAGCCATACCTCCTTGCAGCGAACAGAGTACTAGCTTCACTCATGCAACCATCAGGCCCACTATGAACTTGCTTTCCACCAAATATGAAAGGCGTTTCCTACACCATTCACGTCAACTAAAAGATGAAATTTAATGTCTATGATGCATAAGTAAGGAATAGAATAGTGTTAAAGATTGAAGGGGAGAAAAGACAACTACGGATTTGAATGAAAAGGCAACAACTATTCTTTAAGGAGTCCTATTATATTACCTTTACATCCAGATGAAAAGAACTTCCTATATTTTCTTTAGAATCCTTGCATCCAGAAACAAATAACTCAGTATGATACCAAATCCAATGAAAAAAATCCACGACTGCCACATTCAATTTAAAATTACAGAAGTAAAACCTCTATGAACACCCTGGAATGCCGGGGCAGTGTCAATTGAGATCCAGTATTTGACTGGATTTCAGATGTCAGGGACAGCTGCTAACATTTAATGAAAGGAGAATGAATGAGAATGGTGGAATTAAATATCTTTTATCAAAAGTAACAATGCCGATGAAGTGAAGAACTTTTACTGCAAAACGGATCTAGAGTAATTAAGAAATTGCAAGAAAAGAAAATTAAGGAGCAAGAAAAAGATTTGCATGAATTTACCTTGGTAAAGAGTTCAATTGGTGGGTTATGCTGAACCCTCTTTTCTGTATGGAAATTAAATTCCTGTATGAATCAAAGCAAGATGTGATATTGGTATATTTTTTCTATCCAGAGTCTGGACCAATATCAAAGTAAAGAGTGAATAAACAAATGAACCAACTCACCGTTGGCACGGTGGTTTCCTGCTTTTTGTTCCGGAAAACACCAATATCTCCTTTACTTGAAAGTATCTGCACGAGCACTTTACAGTTGGTAGTAGTACAGTGGATCAAATAAATAACGGGAAAGAAAGGTTTTCTACTTGATATGAATAACAGAATGAAAATGAAGAATTCTAATAGAAGTTCATCTGAACTGAAACGTTTCCAGTGACACCTTTCAAGGAACTACTTCAATTCATAATAACAATAAATAAAAGAAAATATTATAAGCTAATTAGATTTGTCATTCTTTCATTCACATTACTTATATTGACTTTCAGTACAATAACTTCAAGATTTACACAAAGTTTTCTTGACAAACCAGTTTCAGAAAGAAGAAGAAACCTGGCTGGTGAAAAAATATAAGTTCTTTGATTGTTAAATTTCATCATAACAGTATGTTTTTCTACGTGATATTGAAGTTATTTCATCTTCAACATGAATTACTTTGAAGAGTAAATCATTTTGATTGGTAAAATATCTTAAGACTGAATTTTGTATTTGTTTGTATGAAGGATATAGGATATATAAGCATGTTTTATGATAAAAACTCCATCCTGATAATGCAGATTGTATAAACTAGTTTAATTGGTGATAGATGCTTGGTAAAACATAAGAAATTTGAAAATCATAACTAAAACACCCCTGAAATATAATTAAAAGTTCCTAGTTCATTTCTTCATAAAACTGCAGTCCAGGTATCTTGCCAAAAGTATTACTAATATATCTCATTACCTTCTTATTAAGAGGCCGAGCTTTAAAATTATGTGCAAAATCCAATCCATCATGCTTTGGAGCACCCATGGCCGATGGCCTATGCAAAGGAGTATTTTGAAGTTAGTACCATTGTTTCATGATTTATCAAGTTAGAATGTTAATTCTAACATTTATTATGGCATTTGTTACCTTCTCAAATCCGTGATTCTATTTTCTGGAGCAGAAACAGCAGAATGTTTGTCCAAATCCTGCAACCAGCAAGCTTCAGTTTCCCAGAGACTAATCAAGTATACATATATAGACACACACATACTGGGTATAAGAACACCAAATGACATTGACATTTGATAATAACCAATGTTGTAAAGAGAAAAGATTGTTACTACTTAAAATTGTATGAACTAAATTATATTAACCTTATCATTGCTGTGAAGTGAAGATGATGAAGTAGCAGACATATGCTGCATGGCCCTCTCCCATGTCTTGAGATGAAATTCCTGAGAAGCAAGACACAAAATCCTGAGCTTCAAAGATAAATACAGAAGAAATTTATTCTCCTGATTAATAATTGGTTTAATTCTTATAATAATTGATGTGTTAGAAACATTTATCATTATGTCTAGGTTTTGTGTAAGTGTCTAGGGTCAGTGAATCATGTGAATGTAGTAATAAGGAAATATATTCACTAAATAAATATCAAGCTTGTGGTGTAGTTGAAATAGTTTTTGGCATATGCTTATCTTTTCTCTCATTCAACATGATGAAATGGTGATAAAACTGGATGAACTACAAAAGCAAGTGTCAAGAGCTTACTTGAAATTCTGGCACTCGTGGAGTACTCCTCTTGGGAAGTGGAAATGAAGGAGCATTTAGAATCTAGATTATGAGCATAATTAGTTAGGGCAAATGATGGAAAAGATACACTAAAATTAACCTAACAAGAGCAATTCTGCCTACGGCAAGTACTAACTTTTCTGTTTAATGGGCGTGCTTTGAATCCGGGGGCAGCCACTGTCACAAGTTCTGCCTCTGCACCATTTTTAGGTCTGGAAATCACATATATAATATCTTAACTTCATATATGTGAGGAGAAAATTAATCTCATTAAGATGATAGAAAATGCCAAAATAACAAACCTAATCCTCTGTGCCCTAAGAGCTGTTTCTAGGTCAGGCTCTCTAGGAATAGTAATCTTCAGCTTGGAATGTCCAGAATTTTGATCAACAGTTGCAACCTGCAAGAATATGCGAATTTATAGAGCACCATCTCATGAACCTCTTTCCTATCCCTCAGAATATACAACCCTTTGCCCAAAGGACTTTAACTGCTCTTGCATTTAAAATTTGAAATTTAGATACTTAATCAAGAGCACTTTCCTTAGCCATTATATGATAAATTTTCACTCATAACAGCAGTGTTGTATCAGGAAAACAATAAGGTTAGAATTTCTGTTCATTTGTTTATAAAATTAAACAGAGAAAGAAATAAAGAACAAAAAAAGTGGGCAAAAATATATGTGGGTACAATATGAGCGCCATACAAGTTATATGAAGGATGTATTTGGCAAGTACAATCTATTTTTTCTAGGGTAAGATCCAAGCATTTTGCATTATAATTCATACATACTTTCTTAGGTGCCTTGTGGACAAAGTTTGCTTGCTGCTTCACATCACCAACCTATCACAAAGGAAGATATGGTAAGCAATTCAATTGCACTGTCTAGATTAAATGGGATGCCATCAGTAATTAAGAAACATTTAAATTCCCAGTTCATGGTTCAAGTACTTCCATGCTACCAGCCAAACATGGGCCTAAAATTTAATTTAATAATCTATAATCTATTAAACTGTTCACCATGAAAAGTATGAAACAAACTCCAATGACTTAAATAATTTCTTATACAACAAAAAAATTGAACACTGTTAACAAGAAATGTATTATCAGCAACTTTACTAGGAGTTGAACCAAACTTTACAGCACTAGATGTTCAATTTTAGGATCAATTTCTGGCTTATATCTAAGCCGAACAGAGACAAATACGACAACACTTCTTCAATTATTAGATAATCAAAGTAAGAAGGAGAATAGTATAATTTACAGACCTTGCGCAAGAGACCACCTTCCAATTTCTGCCGCTTGGCAGCTTGACTCTCCACTACAGAAGTAGATAAATTCATTTCTTTGTTATGAGCTTGAAACCTGAGAACAATGGAAGAGTTGCGTTGCAAATGATATAAGGAAATGCAGTTGTTTTTCGGCATCCATGCATTAGAAAGCTAGATACTGCCAAAAAACATCACACATAGCATAAAAGAGAAAAAGTAGGGAATAAATGCAGTAATACTCCAGCAGTTCACCTTAATAAGAATTCATGACTTCATTAAGCATATAGTAATTGCCCAAGTTAGATAGCATTTAAATCAATGGCACCATATTGAGCAAATAGATATCCTATGGAAAAATGCAGTGACAAGCTTCATTTCAAAAGCTTGCCAACTAATTGAGTGTTGCTTGAAAATTTGATTTTCTTTAATAATTCATGTCTTGAAAAAGGACAAAGGACAAGTTTCTCCAATAATCACCTTGAGCCAACAATTTGAGGGGGCCGATTTTGCTTAGCCAACAAACTAGCAGTAGGTTTCATTAGCGTTGAACCCTTCACTGCAGCAGATTTAACCTTAGAATTCAAATTGCCACTGATTGTCTTCTTACTGCTAAAGGTCAGTCCTGAAAAGCCGTAATCACATGTCAAGCTCAAATAGGGGGAAAAAAGAACCACATTGAGATAGAGGATAAAAGGGCAGAATCTAATGAACTATAAATTAAACAAAAAAAAAAAAAACTAAACTATAGTTACTGTCACGGCACAAGACATTAATTTTAACATAAATAAGGTTCATAATTCAAACAGCACTATGAGCACTTTGGACTATAGAATGGATGAAAAGAAAGAAACAGATGAAGCCAAAGTTGTAGTGGTGCAACTAATCAATCGATGCACGGGGGAAGGACTACAAAATGACAACATGTAACGGTTACCCTAATCACCAGAAAATTCCTATCAAAACTACCCTCCTAACATCTATCATCACGCTATCTATAAGATTGATTTACCTGTAGTTACTTGCAACGGTTGCATATCAACATTTCGTAGAACTCCACTCGGCAAGCAAGGGACGTTCCCAGCTTTTGAACCTGACAAATAGAAAGCATCAGTAAGACAGCAGCAACGCCCTTTCCAACACAACACACTCGAAAGTTGAGTTCAAATAGAGTTTAGTAAAACCAATAGAACAAAGGGAGAACATCACATACCATAAAAGACAGAGCGGGAAAATCCAATCCCCGACGGAACGTTAGATTTGGCACCGAGGACGGTGGTTGCGCATTCCGAACGTTCTGATTCTGGAGAAAGGGCGCTAACGTCGTCCTCTCTCGCCACAAAAGCTGAAAAACAAAAAATGATTTACCAAACAATGTGCATTTATGAAAAACAAATAAACAGAGAAAAAGGAAAGGGTTAAACGGACGAGAAGGAGGGTAGCTCCCTGCGGCTTGAAACCAGAGTTCGGCTAGGCGAGCTTGAGCCGCAGGTTCTTGTGCGCTGAAATCGAAGAAGCGAGCCGCATCGAACTCGTAATCCAGGTCAATCTCGTAAGCAACAAACACCTGCTGCTCTATTTCCATATCCTCTTCCTCCTCCATCATCATCACCACCACCTCTTCTTCCTCAATCTACAATGCAGGTTTTCATTCAAATACCAAATGACACCATTATGATTATTATATTTAAGTTAAATAAATGTTTCTCGTGCGTTCCATTTCATGAAAGGAAGGTTGTGAGTGCGTTCAATTTCTTCGAGTGTTCAGTTCAGTGTTGACGCTTTGCGATTGCACAAAATAACAAAATTATTAATTGGAATGAATAAAATAGAAATAAACTCATCTAAGAGTAATACTCTACCATCGGTTTTCTCATTTTGTTTGTCTCGTTGCGGTGGGACCCGTGAGGCGTAAGTGAGTAACGACTAACGATCCAAAATTTGAATTCTATGGGCAGTGTGTTTAGACCAATTTACCCTTTTGGATAATTGGAAGCGGTGCTTTGGGCTGTGTTTCGTGTGGTCACTGCTCAGACACTGTCCAATGCCCATCACTCTGCAATTTCGGCGCTTCCTCGTTTACCCTTCGCAATCCATCGCGTTGCTAAATTGTCCCTACAGCCTCTTATTCTTCGTTCTTGGGCTGGGACTGGGTGACATATGGGTCCACTTCACTGCTAGCCTCTTGCATTTGGAATCCAAAATTCAAGTCCAGTTACCCAAACTAGCTACGTGTTTCCTTTTCTATTATATTCTACTATGATACACTATTTGCTCAAAAGTGTTAAATTTATGTTGAGAAATTTTGTGTTAATTAATGCAAGCTTTTGAAAAGCAGTTAGATGATCACATTTTTTCAAAAGTGTTAAATTCATTTCAAAGTTAAAGAGTTTTAACTAAGTTTTCAACAACAACAAAAAAGTAAATAAAACACTTTTGACGATTCTTTTAAGAAAATTACTTTTTATATAAAACAAAATTGTGATCCAATTGCTTTTCAAAGACTTGCATTAGCTTGAGAAATTTTTAGGTTTAATTATAGTATTACTCGTTCAGTTTAGATTATATTAAGTTTTGGTTTTTTTTATTTTTTTAAATTACGTCATCTATTTGTTTTGAATGAGTTTATTTGATATATTAGCCAATTTTTCATATGTTTTATATTTAAGTGAAATTAACAAAAATTGGATAAAAAAAATTATCATTGTTTGATAACGGTGCAATCAATAATCAAATATTATTCAACAATAATCAAATAAACATAAAAAAAAATTAAGAAATTTAAAAATATATATATAAACAAAATATTTGAATCAAAGATATATTTGATACGATGACTTAAAAAAATTAAATTCAAAATTAGTAATGTTTTGTGATAGTATTTAAAGGGGAAAGTAGATACTTAACGTAAAAAAATGTCATAATTTTTCTTTAAAAATGAGTGAATTATGAAAATTTCCTCGTTCAAGAATAACACATTAATTTTGTAACAAATGGGATAGATTTTATGATGATATAAATATATTTTACTTGTTTGATTTATATTTAAATTATTTCGAAGTCAATATATTTTGACTATATATCATTTTAAAATAATAATTAGTAAACTAAACATGTACTTTTTATAATTTAATTGTAAGATCCTAGCAATGCAAACATTTTTTAATTAATATTTAGTCATATTACAAGAATTTTTGACTCTTGCAATATAACTTTTGTGTTTTGAAACATAATTATTAGTGAAAAAAGTCAAAAGATAAAATTATTAATTTCATCAAATATTTTATATAAAAAAATAAAAGCCAACAAAAAAAAAAGTAAAGTATAAAGCCTTTATAATTAGAATTTTGATGGGTTACAATAATAATTATTTATTTTTTTCATTTATTTTTTTACTAATTTATTTCTACTTAAATAACAATTTTTTATGTGTTATTTTATTTAATAAAATATTATATATATTTTAATTTAAAATACAAGTATCATGTAGGACCACAATGAGTGATAAAGTACTTAGTCATGCTTAAATTAAGTAAGGTCATTGGATAAAGTACTTACTACATTCACAAGTTGGGTATGACCATTATGAGTAACAAAGTGTTTTATTAAGGATAGAAAAGTGTTCCATCTAAGAATTTAAGACAATTGCATTCATAAGTAAAAATTACTGTAATTTATTTTAAAAAACTGAAAACTATATTTGAAGAGTAAATCAAACATACTCAAAGTGTTTATTGTTAATAAGTCATTTAAAAGTAATAGTAACAATAAACATTTTATCTCCTACGGGCTCCCAAATAATCATATCCTTCATGTAATTATTAAGAATATAGTTATGAATTTGTTTTCTAGTTTCCAATGGTAGTGGCATGGCTAATCTCTCAAAATGCCACATTCCATCCTAAAAAATACTGCACACCCTTAAGTGAGTGTCTTGTACATTCACATAAGGTACAACATGGCAAAGATAGTCCATTGTGAGCCATTTATCATACAACAAAGGAATATCACCCCCTCCCTAGATGTTATTTGAAATCCTAAGTGAAGGTGATTGGTGACTTTTACTATAGAATTTCATGTATAAGATGCTCTCACAATTGTAGAGGATCGAAGTATAGCCTCCCACTAACATATGTACTTGAATTCTAACATTTGAACCCAAAGTTTTTGCTTCTCACACAAAAAACAAAAAAAAATTCATGTGTGTTTCTCTAAGAAAGATGTATTAACTTAACTGGCAAGATGAATATTAAGTTTCCCTTGCATCTTTGGTCGAGAAATGGTCTCTCAGTCCATCCAATGAGAATGGTTAGCTCCCCAAATGAAATGACATATGGTAGAATCAATTTGATCACAAACAATCTATATTATCTAGGGATTTTGCATGGCATAAATGGATATAGATGTAAGAACAGATTGGGTCATGGTTACTTTTTCTACTTTTGAAGAGTTTCAATTTTCATCCTACCAATCTAGAATTGATAATGTCAATAATACAATTAAAATCATTGTTTCGTGTTCTGCTTGTGAATATAGGAAAGCAAGATATTTGTCAATCTACCAAGATATAATTAAAGTCATAAATCTTGACTTTTGGAGATTAACTTTAAGACTAGATGTGTTGCAAAATGTATCCATGACCTTTTTTATCAGCTTAATTTGAGATGATTTTGCTTCAGTGAACAACATGCAATCATCAACAAAGAAAAGATAAGATATAGCAAGTTCTTTCCTATCCACTTTGATAGGCAACCAGATATGTTCATTTATTTTATGTTGTATAAAAAGAGAATTTTTTTTCATACATAAAATGAAAAGGCAAGGAGACATGGAGTCACCTTATCTTAACCCTCTTATGGATGCAAAAGACTCCAACTTCTCACTATTTCACTTGAGGGTCTGAGGTAGTATATAAGAATAACAATTTGAGAGGGGAAGTCAAAGTTAAATAGCATAAGTCTAAGAAAATTTCAAATCAATAGTAAACAAAATATAACCTTTTTATTTTTATTTTTTCTTGTGAAATAGGTGAACAATCTCCTAGGTAATTAAAGTTTTATCAAACGTACCTTTTTTAGGAATAAAACTACTCTAAAGAGGATCAATGACCCTATCTAGATTGAGCTAAATTCTATTTACCAAAATATTTGTGATAGTATTGAATAAGACATTATATAAACCAAAAGGTCGAAAGTCCTTAAAAGACATAGGAGAATCAATTTTCTGAATAAGAATAATTAGCATTTTTGCCAGACTTAGAGTTAAAAAATCCATGAACAAAGGCCATTGATACCATCTCCCACACATCCTTTTCAATAACATTCTAGAAATTCTTATAAAAAATTGGTTGAAAGTCATCCTATTTTGGAGCTTTATATGAGCTCATAGAGAAAATAACATTTTTAACATCTTCTATAGAGATAGGCTAAACTAAGGAATTATAGAGATCATGGTCTACCTGAAAAATATAAGGAAGTTGTAGATACTTTGGTTGGCTAGAGTTAGAAGATTGAAATAAATCTTTAAAAAAAACTTTAAAGCTTGTTTTTTCATAACATCTTCATTAGAGCACCAAATACCCTCAATATTAATGTTATGGATCTTGCTCCTTCTCTTCCTTATGACCATATATGTATGAAAGAATTTGGTATTTTTATTTTTAAACTTAAATCATTGCTCTCTTGACTTTTGGTACTATAGAATTTTCTCTTGGCGAAGTACTTAGTTAATGAGCACCTGAAGCTTTCTTTCAAGTATAATGAGATTTGAATGTGAAAAGTTATCAAGTTGTTTATGAATCTCCTTTATTTGTATCTCAAGATGTCTCTTTCTTTTAAAAATATTACCAAACACTTTTTCATTGAAATTGGTTGATTTGACTTGAATCTAATAAAATTTGTGAAAAACATTTTTAGAAGTAGAATTCGAAGTATGTTTAACTTAATTAAGGTATTTGGATGAGAAAATCAAGCGACTTGAAAATGAAAAAATTAAACTCTCTTGCTACTAAACGTCAGATAACTGAGCAATAAAAATTGTGATTTGAATTATGCATGAGGAGCACATCTAAAAGAGAGTGAGAAACAAAACCGAGTCTGCCATACATCTATCAAGCTTTTTATAAATAAGACCACTAAATTGAACTTTTTTCCTCCAAGTAACTCAACCACCAACTGTATCCAAATTCATAGCTCCATAAGTACACATCATATTTGTTAATAAGAGAGCTTTGCCACAATTAAAATTGTCACTAGAAACTTTAGAAGAGTTCAAGATTTTATCGAAATCACCCAACAACAGTCATGGTCCTAAATTTTAATTTCACAAATCGCTCAAGTGGTTCTAGAGAAATTTGTGATTTAAAGGAGTTGGAAAAGCATAAATCACTGAGTAGTACCAAATAACATTTTTTTTAATGGAGAAAGAGATAGTTTGCTGAATAAAGTTAATAAGAATAATTGTTATAATAGTAACACATTAGAGAACCCAAATGCCACTAGAGTGGTCATTAACTTCCTGGAGAAATAAGGGCTTGTAGCTTAAATTATCCTAAAAAGATTCCACCTTTATGAAAATGTCACCTTATAGCTTGCCCCCAAGGCCCCATGAGTATTCCATGAAATAATTGAAAAGTCATGGAATAAATCTATAAATAGACTAAGGGAAAGGAGGGGCCAAAGAGGTCCTTAGCTTACATTACAGCGATTTGGCCATTAAGAGGTATGTTTGATAACATATTATTATGGTCCTAAATTTGTTGGGAATGAGTTTAGTCATATCCATATTATGGTCAACTTGTATCTTATTATTAAGAAAGATAAATCAGTTTGGTAACAAAGCTTGTATCTTGACCGTTGATTGGACTCTATAATCAATTGTATAAATTAGTTGTGTTGATGAAGAAGGCCTTATGTGATCTTTTATGGTTGGTTTGGGAACATTGGCTTTATTCTTCACAGAGATCATATGCATCTTAGAGTCGTGTTTGGCTATCAGGACTGTAATAGTATCCTTTCTCACTTTTGCTTTTATGTTTCCTATTGGTTGATTTTTCTCATTATTATTAGTGCAACAATTGGATTAGCCTCTCTCACAAAATCAAGCATTAATGTTGGCAATGTTCATATTCTCTCTCTTCTCATAAATTTGATATTGGTGCTGACTTTTTAGCACTTGCTTCTTTATTTCCCTTGCTTATGTGTTCTATTATGAGGTTTGCACTTGACAATGAGTTATTCTCCATGCAAAACATCATTATCATTAATGGTCACATATGTATCAGTATTAACATTGATTTGGACAACCATGACATTATGCCCTCCATTATTAGCAAGCGTAACGTGTAGGAATAAATTGAGTTAAATCTAATTATATGAATTTAGAATACCCATATACGAATTTAGAATAACAATAATGAAATCACTTACTTGTAGATATTGTAAATTATTTGGTAGGTAGACAATCTACGTAAAGCTACGAATCCTTTGTGAGTGAAAAGCTAAGGTCTTCTTTTGCCTAATCATACTCTCCTAATACTTGGTTTTCAATGGAACAAACATAGAAAGCAATGAAATATGTTTTCATGACAGCAAAATGGACTTAGCTTTGATATTTATTAACCCTAGGTACCTCCCATCATGGGCCTAAAGATTAAGCTCACACTATATCCTATATAGATTAATATCAAGTGCCCAAAGCCCATAAGCAGTTGATCACATTATTAGTAGGCTTAAGTATTTTCAAATGGATCACAATATTATCTTGTTTTGACAAAATAAAAAAATCGCAATTAATTGTAACCCATAATGAATTCTATAGAAAATTTTAACATAATAAACAGAGGATAATTTGAGGTATTAATGGTAGTCATAGCACTCAAAATTAATTAGCCTACTATTGCTGAAAAATCTGAAGTCATTATAGCTATGACTTTATCAACAAATTTGGACGATGTTAAGCATTCCCTGGCCAAATGTCCATAACATCCAAATGAAGCACAAATTCTATGCAAACCTTCATACTCCACCTTGTACTAATGTCCCTTCAAACCAACCTTACTGACTAATACATGTTTATTCAAATCAATATAGACACAAATTATAGCAAAACACCCCCTTCTAACATCCAAGGTGTTTGAGTCAACCTTAATAGGGATACCGATAGCACTGGCCAAAGATAATAAAATACTTTTATCATAATAAATTAAATTCAGACTTAGAAAGGAAACTCATACCAAAGTTTTGTTTATCTTAACAGTGGGTAAGATGAAGTCTAGTATCCATGTTTGTACCATCAGGTAATGATAAAAAAAATCATTCAAAGGCCTCCTTTTATCACCTTTTGCTTATCCTCAACAATATCAAACTTGATCATGTAAAAATTATTGCCAATGTCCAGGATATCAAAACATGCAACCAAATTCAAAATGTGTGTTAAGCAACCTTTTATTGCTTGAAAGCCAATATTATTCCCAAATAGTTTAACCACTAATGCATCTTGTCAAGGTGCACACAAATCATTGAAGACCAAATCATCAATATGAACTATTGGTTTCAAAAGATTGTCATCTTCAAATATGATTTTTGCCAAAATTTGCTTAATAAGGTCTACTCTCGATGGTAGTATCTGCTGTGAGGCATTGCCATATCTCTAAAAGAAGTTCATATTTTTTTTACCACCACCATTGTTAAAAGGCTTTTTGCTAGAGCTATCATTGCCTACCGTGTTCGCATATAAAACAAAGTCTTAAGCTGTCATTTTAATATATTTTTATTCTAATTAGTTTGGTTTTAACTAAATTGATTTTTTTAATTATAAATTAACAAAAAAAAATTACCTATATTTTTATATAATTTTTAATACATTAAAAAGTATAATAAAAAAATAAGATACAAAGGCAATTTTAATTAATTCAAATTTAAAATTATAAACACATAAAAAATAAAATGTAATCTAGAGAATAAGAAAAAAAATAACAAATTTTGTAATTAAGAAGAATGAGACTTTTCTAAATATGAGTTAGGAATGTCTCTATATAATTGTATTGATTTGTATTAAAGTTAAAGAATAAAAATATTATGAACTCATCCACATTTTTTTATATAAAATTTAAAAATGTTATGTACTAATATGAAGTTTTAAAAAAATTTATAATTTTTTTACAAATAAAAATTTTATAGCAAAAAAAATTTATAAAAATATAAGAACTAAAAAATGATTAATGTTATTGTTTTATGTTAATTTAATTAATTTTATAAAACTAAAAAATCATCTTTCACTTTTTTATTAAAAAATTGTCTATGCCTATTTTTTAGTTTCTATATTTTGATAATTTTTTAAAATCATAGTACTTAATATTTTTATAAAAGAAAATTTATGAGTTCAGTATCAACAAATTTGGGTTTTAGTCATGGGATTGGCAATATGGTGCAAACTTTGTTTGTTAGCATTAACCTACACGCAACTGGTTTCTCATCCAAGCCTCAACCTCAAACGTCCACGTCTATGTTTAATTTTTGTAAGGGTTTGAACTTTGGTGGAATCATCATGATGGCCTCACTCACGAACTCTCCACATTTAAGCGGATTTACTCATATTTATTGACAAAATAAGCATTACTAATACTATCTTCTTTAGGTTTCATTTTAAATATATAAAAAATAAATTTGAATCTTAACTTAAATATTTATTTTCTTAAATTTAAGGGACAATAAATTTCTAATCAATACTTAATTCTTTTAATATCTTTAAAATTAAAAAATATTTATAATTTTTTAATTAAATTATTAATTTTGTTGTCTATTAATATAAAATTAACAGTTATAGTTATTTTTATAAGTAAGAGATTTTATTGAGCACTTTAATTTTTAATTATCATTTAATATTAATAAAAATTAAATTAATTTTTATAAAGTTAAAATTAATAAACAAAATTTGAAATATAAAAAACTAAAATATATATCACTTATATAATCTGCAAAGCTATCGTGAAAATTTATTCAACAGTAAATTGAAATGATCGTCCGTAATATCTCCAGTTTCTGAGATTGATTATGGCAAAGCTCCCTCCTCCCGTACGTGAATCATCGCTTCTTGTCGCCAAGAGCAACCCTAATCTGGGGCGTAACGTTAGCGTCCTGTGGCTTAGATTCTTAACTCTCTTTTTTTATATTTTATGTATTTCCATTTGTCTTCCATATTTTCCTTACCGTTCATTTGGTTCGTTGTTCTCGTCATTAACTCTGTGACTTACATTGTCACGTCTACCTCTCCGTCTTTCTAATCAGAGTACAATTTCAACGCTGGATTACCCACCATCATTATGTTTGTTTATATACTGGATATATTAAAATATACCTTTTTAGAAAAATTATAAATATATAGAATTAAAAAATTGTTAATATGTATATTTAGAGATTAGAGATGAAACAACAAAAATTATAAAATATAAAAAATTATTAATGTAATTTTTAAAAATATTAAATGATTAATATCATTGACGATTTTTAAATTTTTTTAAAATATTATATTTTGATAATTTTTTTATATAAAAAAGCCCCCAAGACTATATATAAATAAACATTTGGCATGTTAAAAATCAAATAAATAACACGAACTCATCTGTACGAAAAGCACAAAAACTGTAATTTCAACCCAGTTTCAATATAGTGGCGAATTTCCATCAAAAGCCCACTTTTCACTCTTCCAATAACATTACACCATGGTCCATTCGGATAATTTCGTACGAACACTTGTCGTACTATATGACAGCTCATTTAAGAAGAATTATAATTTTCTCGTACCGTCCGTATTCAACGAGGAAGAAAAATGAAATAAATAAATAAATAATGTGATAAAAAATAAAAGGTAAAATTGTTATGATATTTTTACTATATATTATAAGAAGCAGAAATATTATATATGTTTTTCTTGTCCATATTTTATTTTTATTTAAATATATTATTAAGTGGGATAAAAAAAGGAAAAAAGTCATAAATATAGTAAATTATATTAATACGTTATAGATTGATTAAAAATATAGAAATATTTTTATATGGTATTAAAAAATAATATATATTAAATTTTGAAGGTAAAGTTAAGTTTAATTTTTTAAAAAATGATATGATTAAAAAAATAAAGATGAATGATGATAAAAATGAGAAGCAGGCTAAAAAGGGCGGCAAATTGTGAGGCTAATTGAGCGCTGAGAATATCCCAAATCCCAAGAGGGAGGACCCGCCCGCGCAGAGAGGAAGAGAAAGAGAAATAGATTAGAGATTAGAGAATATTCAGCGCCCACACGCTAACGCTAACGAGAAGGAGGAGTTTGGAAAATCCAAAATTGGTTTCCCTTTCATTCACAATTTCTTCTTGGCCTCCATCAATTCATAATCATGGAAGGGTTTTAGAGGAACATAACACAATGAGAGTGATAGTGCCTCTGCAAGGCGTAGTGCAAGGCAGAGGAGGCCTTTTCTGGGGTTCAGTCATTCCTTGTGCTCTCTTCTACTTTCTTCAGCTCTTCTTCAAGACTCGTCACAATCATCGCTCTTCCTCTTCCCACAACCACAAGGAAGACTCCTCCTTCCACCGCTCTCTCTCCCCCAGACACCCCCCCACTGCCTCTGCTTACGTGTCACCTCGCGCCAGTTCTGTCACCGCCGTTAACTGTCCTTACTACCTTGCTTTACAGAAGGCAAACGACAATCCCTACCACCAGATTCATAATTCCCACGGCGTTATTCAGCTTGCTCTGCCTCAGAACACTGTCAGTTCCGCTTCTCTTCTATCACTTTCTTCTTTCCACTTCACCGCTATAATAATTCACTCTCTCCTTGCCCTTGCTGTAGCTATCTCTCGACTTGATTCAAGATTGGATTCGCCACAACGAATTCGGTACACAACTCAATATCGCAGCCGTTGCTCCTTACCAACCTCTCCATGGACTCATGGACCTCAAAGTGGTAATTGTTTCTTATCTCTTGTTCTGATTCTTCCCTCGCACTCCACGAAGCCTCAATTAACTCCATCTTATCTTATTATCGTTTTAACTTCGCTTGCTTTCTTTTGTTTCTTCGTCACTATTTTAGAAAGTGATTATTGCTATGAAGGTAGATGACAACTCTTGACAATTATTTTACTAGATAGTAAATTGCTGGATGAATAATGTTATTTTAAAAAAATAAATTGCAATAATTCGTGAAGATCACACAAGTGATATGACGGTGACGAATAGAAAAAATAGAGAGTGTGTATAAATTATTGAAAAAGTTTCACGTGTGAATCTCATTACTTATATCTTATTATTTCAGTCTTATTATATACAAAACAGTTCTTCTGATGCATGCTACGGACACACCATAACAATTTGTATATTATAAGTTTTTACTAAAAATTATATAATTCAATGCATCAATAACATTTAATATTATAATTTTTTGAGTAATTTTTTTATTATGTGTCCTTTGACAATAGACACTCAATACAAAAATCGTGTAAACAAAGTTAAACAGTTTGTCAGGGCACGTTAAGCACAGCAAATGAATAATAATTTGGCTGATCCAATGAGAGAACATTAAAGCCTTACTGGAAGACATGATCCACAAACTGTGTAATGAGTTATTGCACAGTCATGGAGTGTATTAACAATTTTTTCTCGTTAAATGTGAATACGTAATTAGTCATCTGAATGTGCCTGAACTCACAAGCTAAGCATTGAGTGTTGTGCTAATAATTTTGTGAATGCCTACTCTGTGCCTCTCGGTGGCTAATGCATTCTCTTGAAGTTGCTCTTTTAACTGCTAGAGCCTAGAACTACTTTTAGTCTTTATGTTTCTATGTTGATTCTGTATTCCTGCAGGCTGTGGCTGGTTTCATGTCTCAAGTTTTGGAAAAGCCTGTTTTCTTCAACCCCTCCCGAATGGTATTAACTGCAGGTGCCACCCCTGCCATTGAGATTCTAAGCTTCTGCTTAGCAGATCATGGAAATGCATTCCTTGTTCCCACGCCTCACAGCCCTGGGTAACAATCAACCTCCCATCTCCCAAATCCTCATTTTATTTGCTTTGACAGTTTCGAACACAATTGTGCAGCTTTGACGGGGTTGTAAAATGGCGTACTGGCGTGGATATAATACCTGTTCCCTGCCGCAGCACAGATGACTTCAATTTAAGTATAACTGCACTTGACCGAACCTTCAACCAAGCAAAGATACGTGGTCAAAAAGTCCGTGGAATTATAATAACAAACCCGTCAAATCCTGCTGGCAAAGCGTTAAATCGTGAAACACTATTCGATCTTTTAGACTTTGCTAGAGAGAAAAACATTCACATAATCTCAAATGAAATATTTTCAGGCTCTTCTTATGGCAACGAAGAGTTTGTGAGCATGGCAGAAATCATGGAAGCAGAAGATCATGATCGGGATAGAGTTCATATAGTATTTGGTTTGTCAAATGAGCTCTCTGTTCCAGGTTTGAAGGTGGGTGTTATCTACTCGTATAATGAGAATGTTGTGGCCGCTTCTAGCAAATTGGCAAGGTTCTCTACTGTTTCTGCTCCAACCCAGCGATTGCTTATCTCCATGCTTTCTGATACAAGTTTTGTACGAAAATTCATTGAGATTAACAAATTGAGGCTGCGGGAAATGTATAATACATTTGTGGCAGGGTTGAAGCAGTTAGGGATTGAGTGCACTAGGAGCAGTGGTGGTTTTTGCTGCTGGGCTGACATGAGTAGGTTGATCCGCTCTTACAGTGAAAAGGGGGAGCTTGAGCTTTGGGATAGATTGTTGAATGTAGCCAAGATCAATGCTACCCCGGGATCATTTTGTCATTGTATTGAACCTGGATGGTTCCGTTTTTGTTTTGCTACATCGACTGAAAAGGATATTTCTGTAGTAATGGAACGGATTCGGAGAGTTTCTGATGCAACACAGTGACATAGTTGATACAGTGTCGATTAGTTCTGCAAATTTGCTTGGTTTATTGATTCTTTATTCTTTTGGTGACGCCGGCATCATCCTAGAAAGAATTATCTGTCGTCAAGGGGTAGATGGATGACATGGGGTTATGCAATGGAGTTGCTTCAAAATGATAGGTTGTAAATTGTAATCTTTAAGCCTACGCTTTTGAACTTGTATAAAATATTAAAATGTATAGTCGGAGCCTGGTAGATGATTTCTGCTGTTACAAAAATTAGCACTGAAATGGCTTTAGGTGCAAGCAAAGGAGAAACAGTGAAACACTGATCTCGACCTGATGAAGCACCACTGGTACTATCAACTTAATCAGCTTACGATGAGAAGAGTAAGAAAATGGACGGAAAGGTAAAAAGTCACCCAAATTCGGTTATGGGCATGATAACAGTTTTTATTTGTACCTTCATTTTTTACATTTGTTTTTCATAAGCTTATATTAGATTATTAGAGAATCACATATCCTTCAAGCTTTGTTGTATATTTCAGCAGGAAGGTCCTGTTGTATTATTAATATTTGGTGTGATAATTGACAAAATCTGAAATTTGATTACGCTTTTTCGCTTGCTCATCTGTTGACGTAATGAGCTTTTGGATGTCATCTCCTTCTCAGGGATTCGTGAAGCCTCTTATCAGGTGTGCCCCTCCTTAACATATAGGATGGATCGAGTATAATGTAGATAGCAACTTCCCTAGACAACCTAAGCAAAAGTGGTTTTGCTTGCTTAGAGTATCTTTAATTTTCCTATTTATCAACGTAATTTAATGTGGATCTTATTATAATGTATCACTTTCGTAATTTTTAAAATTTAAACAACCCTTCTCTTTAATAGCTCAATTTTTTAAAAATATTACATAAATCTTATAAATTACTCCACGTCTGCATACTTTTATCTTTTGTTGTTCATTTTCCTATTTTTCTTTCATTGTTGGGCATACCCTTTTTTCTTCTTCACATGGAACCGTGTTTTATACAATATGTGCTTAATGCTTTCCAGGTCACACAACTCTGGGGGTGGTCCTTCACATGGAATGGATACTTAGATTGAAGTGTTATATGCATACAATTTTTAGTTTTAGTTTTTAAAGTTAAATTTAAGCATTTAAATATAATATTTTAATTAAAAATAATTATTACATTTAAAAAAGATAAAATACACCAAATGTTTTTAATAAAAATTTACTATAATTAAACCGTCAAAATTTTTCTTATACATGTGCGGGTAATGATAAGCGTCCATTAGCTTTGACAAAAATACAAAGAAAGAAAATGGAAAAGGATACATAATAAAAATAAAGCCGCGGCATTGTGTCATGCTTTCTCAAGATTTTCACATTTCTCCGTTTTGTTCCACATGATATGTAATCGAAGCAAATTAAAAAAAGTTAGAAATGAATCATAGGCAGGTTTTGTTTTCCCTTTTGAAAACACGTAATGGAATGGAATAAACAAATGCCTTTATTTGCAAATGTTACAGATTTTGTGAAAAAAAAAATATAATGGTAATATAAAAATGAATACAAAAGAATTTTTGTCACTGTCATTTTTACGTTTTGAATGCCTAAGTAACATCCTTCCCCCTCGCTCTCTTGTATCCACAGATCCAAATCTTCTTGCATGGAAAAGCTCTTACTAGGATTCCAATCCATTTCTAATGGACTCGAGGACCTGGACAACCTCAGCCATGCTTGGTCTCCTTAAAGGATCCTCCGAAGTACAAATTAGCCCCAATCTCATAACCTGAATTAATTCGTTCTCAGCAAAGCCCAGTAAATTCCTGTCAAAGCAATTTGAAGCCGAGGCACTCTCCAACAAGCCTCTTACATATTCACACAAAACCACCACCTCATTTGTGGTTGGACTTTCTACAGGCTTCCTCCCTGTAACCAGCTCCAAAAGAATGACTCCAAAACTATAAACATCACATTTCTCACTTTGCCTAAGGCTTTGAGCCAACTCTGGTGCAACGTATCCAACCGCATTGTGGGATTTGGTTAGACCGTAATTATCCAAAATGGGAAGTAACTTTCCTAATCCATAATCAGACAACTTAGCTTCATACTTCTCATCTAGGAGTATGTTGGAGGATTTAATGTTGAGGTGAAGAATTGGAGGTCTACAGTCATGGTGGAGATAGGCAAGGGCTCTTGCGGTTCCCAGTGCAATTTGGAACCTTCTTGACCAATACAATTCCCTATTACCTCTACTAGTGCTGGTTCCAGGATAGCCAAACCCATGTAAATTATCATAGAGATTCCCATTTGTGACAAACTCTGATAGAATCAACTGCATTGAAGAGGACCAATAATAACCTTGAAAAGCAACTAAATTAGGGTGTTGAAGGTTGCCCAGTCGCCCAATTTCTTGTTCAAATTCCTCTTGATTTCTGATCCTTCCCAAAGTCTCAAGCTTCTTCACTGCAATTGAGATGCCGCCATCAAAATCAGTTCTGTAGACTGTGCCAATTGATCCACCACCTATCAAAGACTCTTTGTCAAGCAATGCTTTTGTACCTGCCTCCCAATCTTCATATTTTGATGGTAAAGTTTTGCTGAAGAGAACCAACTTTCCAATTATAACATTTGATTCTGTTGATCCAAGAGGCGTGCTCTCAACAATCATAATCTGATCATCTTCTCTTTTTCTACCACGAGTCCTCATATTCATGATGGTCACCAAACAAACCCCAGTAAGAATTACGGCTGCAGCTACAATTGCAACAATTGCCGAAACACTTAGAACTTTAGTCTTACCAGGAGCTGGAGGCAATCTAGTTCCATTTACTGTGCAAGGGCTGTCCAAAGGAGCACCGCAAAGAAAACGATTATTGGAAAATGCAGCTGCACCAAATCGCTGTATGGTTGCAATATCAGGAATAAGGCCAGAGAGATTATTGAATGAGAGATCAAAATGTGTCAAGTTTTTTAAATTTCCAAGGGAAGGAGGGATTGAGCTAGAAAGTGAATTATGTGACAGATCTAGGTTCTGGATCCTTAATAGGTTTCCTAGGCTTGGAGGAATGCTTCCATTAAGCTGGTTATGATGTAGGTCAAGGGATTCCAGGTTGGTCATTTTGTAAAGGTTCTGAGGAATCTCGCCTTCTAAGTTGTTACCAGAAACATCCCTGCAGCAACATAAAAGAATGAACTCACATTTTATTCAGAGGGTTCAAGATAATGTAGAGCAGTTTGAGAAAGTTACAGAACTCACAGCCCAAGAAGAAGCTTGCAATTGCTTATATCATCTGGAATTTCGCCAATGAGGTTTAAATTGTGCAAATCCAGCAATTCAAGTAGCTCAATGTTACCAAAGCCCTTGGGAATCTTTCCACCAATGGAGTTATTACCCAACTTGATGACAAACAGTCCTCGCAACTCCTGAATATCAACTGGGATATTCCCCTTGAGCCTATTCAACTCCAGGGCCAAGAGCTTTAAGTTCTTGCATCTAGTTATGCTGGAGGGGATCTCCCCATCCAAAGAATTCCCCGAAGCATCAAAGATTTCCAATCTCTCACTGCAGGCAGTGATCTCAGGAATATTTCCTCCAAACCCATTATAAGATATATTGAAATAGGTAAGATTTTGCATTCCAAGGATGTTGAATGGGGCCAAATCGGTGAACTTGTTACTACCAAAATCCAAATGTGCCAGACTTTGGCATACCGAAATGAGCTCCTTCACACTCCCTGACAAGGCATTGCTTCCGAGTGATACATATGATAACTTTGGAATGCCACAAAGTCCCGAAGGCACAATCCCACTAAGATTGTTGAAGGAAAAATCAAATCCTTCAAGGTTGAAGCAATTCACCAAGGAGGCAGGAATTGAACCGGCAAGGTTGTTATGAGAAAAAGAAACAAACTTCGTTTTGTAGCAGTACCTAAACAAAGCTGAAGGTATCTCCCCAGTGAAGCGATTATTTGATAAATCTAGAAAGCGAATGCTAGGCAAATCACCAATGAACTCAGGGATTGAACCAGATAATGCATTGGAGCTCAAATTGATCTTCCACAACGAGTGAAGATCAGCATACCCTTCTGGGATATTACCCGAGAAGCGATTCCCGAATAATGTCAATGTCCTCAGCCTCTTCAACCCCGCCAATGAAGAAGACAGCACTCCAACCAAGCTAGTGTTCCAGAGCACGATTCTTTCCACAAATCCTTCCGAGTTACAAGAAACACCTTTGTAATCATGGCACGGGTTTCCACTAGAAACCCACGAACTCAAGCTGTTGCGTGGATCATCCGTGATGTTACCCTTGAATTGAAGCAAAATTTCCTTCTCAGTTGCTGGTGACACTGTCACAACAAGCGAAAGCAAAGAGAGAATGGCAAACAACAGAGCATGAGAGAGATGAATTTGTCGGTGTCTTCTCATGCTCGAAACAATGTGATCACCCCTCTGGCATCATCGCTGTCAGAACCGATTCCGAGGTGTTTTTTCCTCAGCTACAACGTTTGAGGTTTTGTAAATGTTGGTCCAATAAGAAACAAAACATATTGATCATCACCGACTGGGAGCATTCTCATTAAGGGACTGTGGTTGAAGGAGAGAGAAAAAAACAAAAAACAAAAAATACTTTGAACAAAGTAAAGTTCTTTAAACCAAAGTACCCGTTTATTCTCTACTTTTCCTTCTGGGTTCTCCGTCAAGGCATCAAGAACAAAGATTCCGGAATGCCCTTTGTGCGTGTTCTATTTTTATAATGATTTGGTTTAAGTGGGGTTGAAATGGGAGCATAAAAATGGAAGCTTGGAGATGAAGAGAGAGAAAGAATGGGAATAGGGAAGAGAAGAGTAAATGTAATGAAATGACGAAGGTGGAAATGGTGGCTGTACCTTTGCTGGAAAGGAAGCAGGTGAGATAGTGAGAGGCAATTAAATAAGCTTCTTTTAATAGGTTGTGATTATAAATTCAGAGATTGCCACCAACTGAAGGCTGAACCACGTGCATGAGAGAACTCCCTCTCTTTCTCTCTCTAGACTTTCTGAGGCAATGATACCCTTCAACTATGAAAACCCAATCTGTGTCTCTGAGCTTGGTTATTTACTTCTCTTACCACCACCACCACGTCGTCTGTTGTGTAGGCCCTCTTTCCTTTGCCCGGCATTTATTCTTCCCTACCAACCAAGCCACCACCACCCCAATCACTCTCATCTACACAATCTCTATTACTACTAGTATGCAAGAGAAGATAGGCAATAGGTTATGAATATTCGGAAAATAAAATAAAATAGAAGAAAGTAGGGGAGAGTGGAAAAGAAAGAGTTAAGGAGTGTGTTTGTTTGTCTGTAGTACCGTTTTCTGGCCATGCTTGCTTTATTCTATCTATCCGTTTCGTTAGCGACACTTTTCGTTGGAATTCGTCGTAATTAGCAGCTGATTACTTAATCATCTGCAGTACTAACCCAAAAAAAAAAAAAATAGTCACGTCAAAACATTAACAATTGCAATTGATGTGTTGGTGTAATTAATTAACCTTAATTATTTTCCTTTTCTGAAGTATTTGGAAAGAGAATTTTTAGAAAATGGCTTCTGGTGGACCAATGTTGCAAAAGTTACGGTTAAAAAATTAGAAATGTATTGTTTAAGTTAGTAGTTGGAGTATTGTATTTTGTTAATAAATATCATTACGTCTTTTTGTTTCATTCAATGTCTGTAAAATCGTAAAAAGATATGTATGCTAGTAATATATTTAAGTAATTACAAATTTATTTTGAGAATATTCTAACAGTTAACACAGTCGCTCGA